CGGACCGACGGGCATGGGATCATGCGATCGAGCTCAAACCAGGCTCCAAAGCAGTGGACTGCAAGGTGTACCCCTTATCGAGAAACGAGCAGGTCAAACTCGACGAGTTCTTACAAGAGAACCTAGCCAGCGGACGAATCAGGCCATCAAAATCCCCCATGGCATCGGCATTCTTCTTTGTCAAGAAGAAGGATGGCTCGCTACGGCCTGTTCAAGATTACCGGAAGCTGAATGAGATGACGATCCGAAATCGGTACCCGCTACCGCTGATTTCCGAACTGGTCCACAACCTGTGCGGCGCCAAGTTCTTCACCAAGCTAGACATCCGGTGGGGATACAACAACGTACGGATCAAAGAGGGCGATGAGTGGAAGGCTGCGTTTCGCACAAACCGCGGACTTTACGAGCCCTTGGTTATGTTCTTTGGTCTCACAAATTCCCCGGCAACTTTCCAAAACATGATGAACGACATACTCCGGGAACTGATCAACGAGGGACATGTGGTAGTTTATCTGGACGACATACTAATCTTCACAGAAAATCTGGATGAACATCGACGAATCACCAAACGGGTACTCGAGTTGCTCCAAAAGCACAAATTATACCTGAAGCCGGAAAAGTGCGAGTTCGAACGCACGGAAATCGAATACCTGGGTGTAATCATTGGACACAACTCGATGCGGATGGACCCTGTCAAGATCAAGGGCGTGATGGAATGGCCGGAACCAAAGAGCGTCAAACAAGTCCAAGCCTTCCTCGGATTCACAAACTTCTATCGACGTTTCGTTCGGGGATATGCGGAGGTCGCCAAGCCGTTGACGCGGCTGACAGGGAAGGCAGGATGGTCATGGGGTCCGGATGAACATGCGGCGTTTGATGGGTTAAAGAAGAGAATCGCGGAGGATGCCGTCTTAGCACTGCCAAATGACACTGGCCAATATCGTCTGGAAGCCGATGCTTCGGAAGGGGCAACAGGATCAGTTTTGAGCCAAAACCAAGACGGCATTTGGCGCCCAATCGCATTTATTTCGCACGCTTTGACCGAAACCGAGCGAAATTATGAGATCTACGACAAGGAGATGCTCGCAATCATGTTATCACTTGACGAATGGAGGCAGTTGCTCCTGGGAGCCACGGAAACGTTCGAGATCTTCACCGATCATCAGAATCTCGAGTACTTTCGGAAGCCGCAGAAGCTCAATCGACGGCAAGCACGATGGATCACGGAGTTGGCGGAGTTCGATTTCACCTTACGACACCGACCCGGCGCACTCAACCGCAAGGCGGACCTCCTGTCCCGACGAGCAGATCACGATCAGGGCAAGAACGACAACAAGGACGTCACGCTACTGAAGCCCGAGTTCTTCCGATCACAAGAAGTCACATTCGAGGGACAGGATCAGCAGCTAATCGACGAAATCAAGGCCATTCGATCAATTGATGGAAGCGTCAAGGCGGCCTTAGAGAAGTCACTCGCCGGATGGAAGAAGGAAGAGGGGCTTATCACGTACCATGGGAAGCTCTACGTACCAAGGAACGAGGAGTTGCGAGACAAAATCATCGGACTACACCACGACACCCCTTTGGTCGGACACGCCGGGATCAACCGAACGCAGGAGATGGTGGAAAGGAACTACTGGTGGCCAAGGATGGGAAACCAAATTCGGAAATACATCCAGACGTGCGAAGCGTGCCAGCGGACCAAGACCAGAAGAGCCAGGACAGGGAGTTTGCACCCGCATGCAGTTCCAAACGCGCCGTGGGAAATCATCTCCATGGATCAGATCGGACCCCTGCCGGTCAGTAACGGGTATGACGCAATTCATGTGTGGTGTGACACCTTCACCAAAATGATCCATGTCGAACCAATTAGTACTGACATCAGCAGCGAAGGAGTAGCACGATTAACCAGGGACCGAATCTTCCGCTATCACGGGGTCCCCCGCAAAATCATCACTGACAGGGACTCTCGATACATCAAGGGCTTTATGAAGGAAACGAATCGGATGTTGGGCGTGGAAATGAATCCGGGGACCGCATATCACCCCATCACGGATGGGCAGACGGAGCGTATGAATCAGGAGATCGAACACTATCTCCGCATTTACGTCAACTACCATCAGACGGACTGGTCGGAGTGGCTGGGAATGGCGGAGTTCGCATACAACGACAAAATGAACACGTCTACCAAAATGTCGCCGTTCTATGCTAATCACGGATATCACCCATGGAAGGGAGTGGAGCAGCGGATGGAATCAAGGAACGAGTCGGCGGAGGAATTTGTAAAAAGAATCAAAGAAATACAAGACGAAGCAAAAGCAGCATTGGAAAAAGCAAAAGAAAAAATGAAAAAATACTACGATAAACAAAGAAAAGAAGTTCCGGAGTTGAAGGTTGGGATGAAGGTGTACATAGAAGGGGAAAATATCGAGACGGATAGACCATCAAAGAAGATGAGCGACAAGAGATTGGGACCATACGAGATACTGGAGAAGGTTGGAGCGGCCGCATGGAAGCTGGATTTGCCGGACACGGACCGAAGACACCCGGTGTTCAACGAGTCACTGTTGACACCCTATCACGAACCACCCCCCCATCGCCGAGAGAAGAGACCCGTGGCCAAGATGATCGGAGGAGCAGAGGAGTGGGAAGTCGAAGAAATCGTGAAAGAGCGAAAAGTCGGCCGAGGAAAACAGTACTTGGTCAAATGGAAGGGATGGCCGCACAGCGAGAACACCTGGGAACCATCACGTCACCTTACCCACGCAAAGGACGTCCTGAGAGACTGGCAGAGGAAACAATCAAATCCAGACACACGCATTCGCCTCCTGCCAACGCTCGAAGCTGGACACTGGGACTATCTCATTCATCGCTACCAGCCCAGGGACGAGCGCCTTCCATACCCCCAACGACAGCTCTTCGACCCTTACGAGAACGTCTTCTTACCCATTGGCCTGGTCGATGAGGACATCGACCCTAGAGAGGGGGTAATGTCATAGTTCGACCACTTTTTCATCTTATCATCGACGATCTTATCTTATCTTGGCACAACTTATCTTATCACGGATCACGGCATCAGACGGTCCGGACTAGGGGTTTCAGGGATTATCTTCATCGATTCGAGGCTGCGCGACATATGCTCCAGAAGGTTCTACTACGACCCATGACCAGCGTTCCATGCGGTACATAGCCCTATGACTCATTAGTTGTAGATATGACTCAGACTGGATTTGGGTATAAATACTGTAGCTACTTGGTTGTATTCTCCAGTCTTCGAATTTACTTCTCTTTTCGACTTTGTTTTTGGGTTGATTGTCACATTATCCCCCATTCCCTGCCAAAATAGAGAAAAGTTACGTGATATTCTACAACCCTAGCCAGAGTAGATACATCAAAATTTTGTGTAATCCACCCCTGCCCCTGCTCCCCCACCAGACCCCGCATCAGACCCCGCACCAGACCCCGCACCAGACCCCGCACTGGGCCCTGCATCAATTGCAATATCCAGTTACACATCTTCACCTTCCCTATTGGCTTTGTCTACCTTGATAAGATATTTCATAAATGTTTGTATTCTTGCCCTGGTGGTCAGCAGCACTACTGCTACGGCTAAAGGAGGTCAAATATAGAATATGCCAGACTGACCCCGCGGCAGACCCCGCCAGATGATGGGATCAAGCGCATCAACAATCCTATTGTGCAGGGTGCATTTGGGGTTTTCTAAGCTCAAATGCATGGTCAATTAGTGTATTTACCTATGGAAATTATACTGGGATGATTTAGAGAGGCTTCCATTTTTTTTTTTGGGCGGAAAATCATGTGATTTTGCGCCCACTGTCTGCCACAACATGCAATCTATCAAGCAGCACCTCCAAAATCATGCCAAATGGTGCAAAAAGGGGCCCCCAAAAAGTCACGTGATAATGCGCCCACTGCCCGCTGCAGTGTGCGGGAGGGGCGGTAGCGCCCCCGCCAACGCCCCTGCCAACCCCCGCCATTTTGAAATTTTTCCTGCAGCTCATCACGTGATTTTCCCGCCATCCCGCCCATTTGGTGCATCATGTGATTGATTTTTTTTTTCCCGCCCAGCTGCCCGCTCTTATGGACAAGTCACATGGTATGTATGGGCACCCCCGTCCTGACCCCCGTCCTGACCCCCGCCCATCCCCCTGCCCCAAAATGGCCAGCTGCCCCCGGTACCCCCGCGGGGGGGGACCTCCTGGGTACCCATAGAGCTACGTCTAAGGGTACCCAGGAGGTCCCCCGCGGGGTCTATATGGGGGGTTGGCGGTGGTAACTGAGGTGCCTTTTTTTCTGCACCTGGGAGGTCGTGGAGGCCATAAACCATCCCTTCAGCAACATCTCATTTTTTGCGTGTGGGCACAGCTACCTCATGCTCAATCTTGAATTAATACATATACTGTTGCTCTATGCACCTGAGGAGTGCTCACATACTCAGATCCCAAATTTTGTGCACCCAGTGGTCTGCCATTTGCAAGCAAGAAATACATGCTTTTGAGAGGTCAGACATTGTCTGAGGCTTTATGATGACTACTACAGCATATATCAGCACTCAGGCCGATCCCTAGCATACCATGCAAGCGGTGGACAAATGGCCAGGCAGCGTCCCAATTAGGAAGGCGCCTCCAGGATGGCCTCCAATCAGGGGGGGTAGGGGGTGGTTTGATGGCCTCCGGAGGGGGCCTCGAAGCCATTTTACATAATAATTGGAGGTCCCTGGGGTGGTGATAAGTTTGAATCAATTCACGAGAGTCGGACAACACGAAGAAGACTTCTGCAGCAATGGAGCTTCTTGCCTCTTGCTGAACCGACGCGCCGGCTTTGACGCATCTTTTCAAGAGCATCAGAGCGAATCAAAGCTATTCCCTGACAAAAAGAGTCTGAGGACTGGCCACGGTCATGTGAGAGTCACGAGATGCAGATGATGCGCAGCGAGTTCGTGATAGACTCCAAACAAGCGACAACTTTCTCCTGTCCCTTTCTCTCCCCGTGTGGCGTCGCCTCGGCATGGCGGACACGCTAGAGCCCATCGTCATCCCTCCCATGGTGGTGGAGAAGCACTTCACGTGCTCGGGCTCGGGACTCCGCTTCGAGGAGCAGGAACGTGTCTCCGCTGACAGTCTCCGTTCCCTGCTGCTCCCGAGTGCTGGAAGGAACGGTATAGGTGACCGGGATAGGTGAGTTTCATTTAGCATCTCCAAATGGGATATCACGAATTTGAATCACATGACAAGGCCCAAAGCTTGGTGGGGTGCGCAGAGCTTGTTCTACGGAATGAAATACACGAAGACGATGACGATCGCTCAACTTCGGGCGCAGCTGGAGGACGCATTGCGCGACAAGAAAACAGCTCTGCGCGTCCCGCAGAGCCTCCTCGATCTGGAGTACCAGTCCAACAAAGAGTTTCGCGAGCTGAATGCCCAGGTGCGAGACAAGGCGGGCATGGGTGCGGGTGCTGGCACAGGCGCAGGCGGAAAGCGGAAGAGGGCGACCACAGATGAATCTGGCGCCACGGAAAAGACGACCAAGTCAGCAGCTTCTCAGAAGAAACCTCGCTTGCAAAAGGCAGAAGCTGCCCCGGTTCCTAAGACAAAACCACGTACCAAACAGACGGCAAAGAAGTCGACGATGGACGTCGTTCCTGCCCCGTCTTCGTCCAAACCTGCGCCAAAGCAAACGGCTGCGAATTCAACGTCAGCGTACGATATTGAAGGGTTCGAACCCATGGACGTGGACGTCGAGCCAATGGTCCAGCAAACGAAGCAGACGGCGCGGAAGTCGACCGGCGGCCGTCCTCCTGCGCTCCATCCATCCCGGTCGCGCAACACCAAGCGCCAGCCGCGCGCGGACAGCGTGTCAGGTCACTGGTTCATCCGCTGCCCGTTCATCACTGAGAGCTGGGGCCATGATGATCTCTCAGTCAACATCGTGCAAACCGGCGCCTCGTTACTTGGCGAATTCGACTTTGGCGTCATTCGCGGGCTAATTCGATCTGAACGCGTCGAGCCGCGGGGCGCGAATGGTGCGTATGTCGCGCTTTTATGGGCCGGGAAAACGGGAGAGGGATATGATGGTGGTATCAGTCCGCCGAATCCCACCCGCAGCGGGTACATCAAGTTTACGGGCGATCACTTGAAGGGCCAGATGAACTCGGTCCCCGCGTGCGGGAACAGTTTGGAGTTCGACGGCCAGTGGGTTGGCCCGGGGGTTGGAATCACGTCGAATTGGGGTGATTACAGCCAGGATGCGTATGAGAGAGCTAATCGCAGTCGGTGGGGAAATAGATGGTGACACCAATCGATGGATGCGAATTCGAGATTCTGCAGAGCGGACATAGACGATGGAGTCGCAATCAGACTAGAGCTCGGAGCAGCGATTTCATCATCAGGGCGACCTACTCAGGTTCAGAATGAACCCACCAACGCCGCGCACGCGACCCTCTTTCAAGGCTGCTCCTGATTTCAACTCGCTTCGAGATGGAGCAAAACTCAGAGTCATGGAGGGGAAGATCGAGTATTTCTGGTCTGCAAATGAGACTGAAGGTCAAATGAGACGACGGCCGCGATTCACAGCGTCACATTCTGTGCATGCTGTCATGTACATATTACTTACCAGTACATACGAGATGTAGATAGTAATACAATAAATGTTACTTAGATCTACAACAGATGATTCCCCCGAATACAAAATCAGGCAGCCGTGCCAGGCCGAGAGTGCCCCCGCCGACTTCGACTTCTGTGACCAGATTCATCCTCTTCCGATTCCGATTCACTGCTAGTGAGGGTGTCGCTGTCTTCGTCGCGGACCGAATGGACGGTAGGCCTATGCGAGGTCCTTCTCGATGTGCGCTGCTGCTCGTCCAGTGTCCGCTGGAGCGCCTCTTGGTTCCTATGCTCCTCGGCCGTCATCTGGTACCGCCGGACACAGACAAGCTCAAAAGTGCAGGGCATCACTTCCCCGCAGATTTGCTTCACCAGGCGCTCGTTGTCGCGTATCCCCCCGTACATCGTGAACTCGCACAGCCAATCCAGGTGCAGCAGGCCCTGATTCAGCTGTCCCCCGGGAACTCCGATGGCGCGAGACCGGTTGTGCCGATACGCGTTATTGATTTGCGTCTGCTTCGCTCTTGATGCTGCTTTTTCGTACTCGGCCTGCGGAATCATGGAAGACATGTCACGAGCCATCTGGTCGATGACGTCCCCACAGGTGACGCCAATCTCACGATTGCGCGCACTAATGTTGATAGGCCAGGGGAAAGTCTCCGAGATGAGACGCAGAGATGTCACTCGAGGAAACGTCGCTGGCTGGCCTCGGTCTTTGGCCCATGACATGTGGGGCGGATCGTCCGAGCGCTGGCATTGGCCCGAGGCAAAGAGCATGTTCCATTTCAGGTAAACTCGGTCCGTGCTCTCTTGTGGCGGCTGAAGCAGCGGATTCACGACGGGATGTGCTTTAACAGCACGGACGAGGAATGGCTCCAGCACGGGTCCATCTGAGGATTCCATGAGTATGAGCCAGGATCATTTAGGTACTGTTGACACACAATGCGGCCCTTCCATGAAGTGATCGATCTGATCTCCACCTTGCGGTTCCATGCCCCGCGAATAAGGATGCGATTCACCTGGTGAGAAACCCAGACCAGGCGCTCCAGGACCCGCCATCGGATACCCTCCCGGCAGCCCAGCCATGGGAGGGCCCATCCCGGAAAACATCCCTGGATGCATCGCCGCAGGAGCGCCGTTCCACATGGGCATGTGAGCTCCCCAGGGATTCATCCCTGGTGGCGGCCCCGCCCACGGTGGAGCGGCGGGGGGAGCGGGAGGCGTGTTCGCCCACGACTGGGGTGCCGGAGGCGGAGGCACAACACCGCCCCCATAAGGACCGGGAGGAATGAAAGAACCAGCGGGCGGATAGGGCGACGCTAATCCGGGTTGAACCGCGGGCCAGGGCGTTCCACCGGGCCCACCGACGCCACTGCCCCACGACATTGCGAATCCACCACCACCAGGGAGGCCACCTCCCATGCCCATGCCCATCCCTGTGCCGGGCGTCGGGGGGAAATAGCCCCCCGCAAGGGCACCGCCCGTATGTGCTCCGGCGTTGAATGGGATGTATGGTGTGGACCCTGGCTGTGCCGTGTACGGGGAGTTGGGGTAGCCAGGGTAGAACGCCGCGCCTTGCGGGTTCACAGCCCACGAAGGGTACTGCGTGTTGGGACCGGCTGGTGGAGGCACCGGGATTGGAGGTGCCGTCGGAGGTGTCGGATGCGGTGACTGCAGAGGCGGAATGAAGGGAGTGACGTTCGGCCGATGTTCTGGTGGGGACGCGTCCATGATGAAAGAGCTTTAAATCGCAGTTGCGAGTACTAAGGGCAACGCGTTCAGTAGTGGGTGAGGTAATGAGCGCGTGCTGTGCGGATGTTCGGTATCACTGATCAGCAACACGCAATCCAGGAACGAAGGCTGCCGCACTGCGAATGCTGGGTATTTCCACTGTGCAGATCAGAAAATAGAGATATCGGCCCTTGCTGAGAATCTTCCAGTTCCCTCTCGATCCGGTATACAGCGAAGCGACAGTCTGAACCGTCTGATCCTTAAATTCCGAGAAAAAACCCGATTGAGACGATACCCAGATTCCGATCGGCGGAATGGATAGTGTGCCGGCGTGAAGTCGTGAAGAGGGTAAAAAGAGATGTGCACAGGCAGTAAGCGCCGCAAAGACGCACGCAGGTGGAACAAGGCACAGCGGCCGCACTTGTGTGGTCGTGTTGCTGCTGCCATCTCTCTCAAATTGGTCTCACTTTGGATTGCTGCCATCTCCCGGTCTGCGGGAACCCAAAAGCGGCCTCCGCGGATGCAAAACATCGACGATCGGAGGCATGCTGAACTCGAACCCATACATGTGCACGATCGGAGGCATGCTGAACTCGAACCCATACATGTGCACAGCTCGATTGGTACAGAGAGAAACAAATACAGCTACAGCAATTGACCAGAGATGCACCGTTAAGAAGTCAAAGTCATGACGAAAATATTAGGGGCTTTGTAGCCCAGCCGGCTCTGCGCATACGTGTCGTTTTTGCGCAAACCATCGAAGTAGATGCGGTCCCGCAGCCAGTCTATCGCGGGTCAGGTATGGCGATGCAACAGACGGACGCTACGCACCGACTCGCTTGTACCGTTGAACCGCTGGTGCGGGGGTGTAATATGCACCACCCGCCCATGGCTGCTGTCCGCCACCAGCGTTAGTAGCCGACACGCGTTTCACGTGTTCCTGCAACCGCGGCGGCAGCGCGCCGAATTCCGCCTCGGTGCAGTAGTGTTCAGTGTAACTTGAGTGGAATCAGCAGCTGCTCGTGCACGAAATGCTTCCCGGACGCACTCCTTCCATATAGCAGAGCAGATATCGTTCATCGTCACACCCTGGGCGTTCTTCACGATCGTGCACCACGGAGTCATCTCCGTGATGATGATGAGCTCCCTCACGCGGGGGAGCGTCGCCGGCTCGTCTTTGGCGGTGAATTGCAGGTCCCGATCCCGCGAGGCGGCGTTAAAGCCGCCCGTCTGCCCTGGAAAGCGACAGCCATCGTGAGCAAGTGACTCGTGTTGCACGCATGGGAGGTCGAATCACCACTCAAGATGTTGAAATTCAGATGGAATGAGGCATCCTGGTTCGCCATAATAGGATGCAGCTCGAGTTCGGTGTTCAGGAGGTACAGATCGGTTTGAGAGAGGACGGGGCCATCTGGCTTCCGACGTCAGCACTTCTGTGGGTGTTAGGTAGTATGGAGACGACGTACAGAAAGCGCCAGCTGCCCATTTGCTCACTGCTGCGTCAGACATGAGAGAAACACCCTAGGGGAAGATCCAGACACGAATAAGTAGAGATGCAAAACCGCGAAGTTGGAGAACAAGAAGGACAGGATTTGTGCTATCGTGTGTACGACATGATGATTGCAAGATCATCTGATGGCAGGCAGTGAGAGCATTGCCTCGGACTCGATAGGAAACGGGAGACACAAGGGAGACTCCATCTGACTTTACGGTCATCATGTACTCATTCATGGGTCAAACAAAAACGCTATCTGTTACAACACAAGTAATTCAATCAATCTGAACTTGGAGGGCGGTGAGCACCAGACAGCGCGCAACAATCGCTGAGCAAGAAGGTAAGTCAACACGAGCATAGAGACCTCGGACACGTACAAAGAGTGTGCATCTGGCTGGTGGGCAGACATGCCATATCGTACACAAAGAACCATCGCCTCGGTCTCAACTCCGCATGCTTGCTTCAACCTGCGCCCGCTTGGCGTTGAGTGCTTTGATCTTCTCTTCCTTTGATGCATCGTAGTTAACCGTAGTTTGATTGAAACTGACGGAGATATCAATGCTAAGAGCGTCATTGGTGAAGCGATACACTTACGGATTCTCGGACGACTTCTTGAACTGCTCGAACAAACGATCCTGTTGGCCAAATTATGAGTCGGGATTCGACACGAAAAGTCACAACAAACTCTGTACTGCTGCAGACGAAGCCCCGGTTGCTACGCGCGGCATCAGCGTAGTCACATCGAGTATGGAATACGCCTACATCTTTGCGGATTATGGGCAGCTCCCGTTCCAGATAGGCTTCAAAGGCACCCTGTGAAAACGTGAATAAGGTCCGGCAATCCGTATAGGAACGAAAATGCCTTGAATCGACGCTACTCCGGTGATTAATAGACAAAGACATGGATGGATGGAACGCCACGCACCTCGGGATGACGCTCAATATCAGCTGCTTGTTGTCCAACGCTAGCTTTATCCATCTTGGCGGTCACTACATCGAGCAGATCCAACGCTGCATCGAGACCAGTAGCAGAGAAGCTCTCTGGCTCGACGGGCGGCGCAGCACCCTTGTCGGATGCCTCGCCCAAACCACCACCAGCCGCAATCGCACCTGGTCCAGCAGGCCGAGGTGCGGGGGCAGACTTCTTCTGGCCGGCCTTGGGAGCGGCCTTGGCTTTGGCTGGCGCCGATGACTCTTCCTCGGCCAGGAGACGCGCCGATTCGGCCTTGCGTGCGAGATCGGCGCGACGTTTTTCCTCCTTCGCATCTTTTGCAGCCTTTCCTCCTTTAACATTATCGTCTGTCCAGGCTGCAGCCTCTTTGCGCTCCTGATCAGATTTAGATTGGGAACAGATCAGACGCGGGTGAGATCATCGGGCTGAGCGCACGCACTTTCTCAGCAGCTGCCGCTTCACTCTTCTTCGCCTCATTCTCAGCTTTTTTGGCGCGACCGCCTTCCTTCTTAGCGTTTCCTCCCTTCGGTGGCATGTCGTAGATGTGATGGAGATTGCGTGTGTCGATTGGGATGACTCGGATTTAATTATGTCACTGACTCCCTCACGTGCTCTTTGGGGAAGGTGACATCACCTACTTCAATTTCGTCGTCGCCACATTTTAACTCCATGGCTCTGACATGGTACTTTCAATCGTTATCCGGCTATCGGGCGCTAGCTTATTTACTGCCAGATTCTCGAAGCTTTCCTAGGATATCAGGTCCACGTCTCTTATGAGGTATTCTTTTCACAGTTTGGAAAAGACATCGCAGACTCCCCAAGCTTACAGATCGAATGTTTACATGTCATCAATAGCGCTGAGACTGTCAGTTTTCGTGCAGTGCAACGAGACTCGAAATACAATGGGCTATAATGGAAAAATACAAAAGATGTATGTATGCTATGCGTAAAATGTTCACTAGTGTAAAAGGTCCGTCTAGGATAGAGTGGATTTAAATACAGGTGCGCATATCAGCGTCTGAACGGGTTATTGTTCGAGGACGTCCCCGTCTTGACTGGCTCGAGCCAGTATCCGCCCCGACTACTCGGCGGGGGCGATGGCCGGCGAAAGTTGTCGGCGTAGGCCTGAGCGGGCGTAAGCCGTCCGGAAGGCGGATCGACATCGACCAATCGCGCGTCCTCCGAGCGGAACATGTACGATCCAGCACTGCTGGGATACCGGTCCAGCTTGTTTATGGGCTGTCTCGGCTCCGGAGCGTTTCGGGGGATACCGGTCACTTGCGAGTAGATCGAGGAACGGGTCATGTTGTCCGGAGCGATCCGCTTGCCACCGTTCAACGGGGGGAGAACAGACGGTGTGGTGCTCGACCGCGAATGAATAGATCCAACCCGCGAGTGCAACGATCCAGCGCGAGAATATTCGTATGCGCCGAACAGCTCCAGCTTCTCCATCTCCATGTGGTGCCTCGCCTCCTCGGCATTGCGAATCTTCATCAGCTTGATGGCCTCGCTCTCGAACTCCGGCGCCACCGCCTGAGGAACTACCGCCCGCCGACTGGCTCGGTGCCCAAACAGCTTTTCGCCAAACCGTAGCAGGCGCCATCGCCAGTTCGTGGCGGGATTCAGTTTCTTGGAGGTCGCAAAGGCGGCCGTCCGCTTCGCACGGCGGTTGCGGGCCCGGCGGCGGAAGCACATCATCACGAGCACGAAGATGAACGCACACCCCAAGGCCATCAGCAGGATCTCCCACCAAGCAAGCGGCCGTTTGACAACCGTCGTCGTATTGGCGGGAGGTGGGGTAGGTGTTGTCGGCTTGGTCGGCTGGGAGATTGTCGTGTTTTTGGCAGCAACTTCGGTCACAACCACCAAATCAGACAAACACAAGCCGAGCCCAGGGATGACGCTCGTCGAGTTCGTGCAAGCAGCAGACACACATGTCCCGGCCCGCAACACTTGGCTTGAGCTAGCACAAGCCAAACACTGGCTCGCGCCGGATCCCGAGCAACTCGAGCAGCTTGCGTCGCAGGACTGACACGAACTCGAAGACGTTTCGAAGAACTGGTTCTTGTTGCACGTGGGAAGGCATCGGCCGTTGCTCAGCACGGGTCGGTCTGAGGGACAAGACAGACATTGAGAGAACGAGCCTCCACTGCAAGTGGCGCAATCAGGATGGCAATCGAGACAGACGCCGGAGGACGAGAAAGTGTTGGAGGGACAGGTCGAGACACATTTGCCGTTAACTGCCAGTTGGTTGTTGGCGCATGTCAAACAGGTCGTAGGCGAGCCAGCGCAAGTAGAACAGCTCGAATCACAGGCTTGACAGATAAATTAGCAAGATGAAATCCAGCGATAAAAAGCTGTCGCACCTGTACAAGTGACATTGTCCCGCGGTGAAAGGAAGGTTGCGGATGGGCATGAATCGATGCATTGGCCATTAGAAAGCACACTACCCGTCAGACAGCCAGTGCATTTGAGCTGATTGACCGTGGAAGCGACATTGAAAGTGCTGATCTCGCAGGTCGTGCATTTGGCACCGCAAGCTATCACAAACGATCAGTGACTCATTCATCAACGATGGCGCCGCACAACTTACTGTCACATTCGCCCTTGTTATTATCCGCAATGAGATTAGAGCCCTCGCAGACTCCAGTGTTGCTAGCTGTCACGCAGCTGCCGTTGTTCGTCAAGTAATGCGAAGAGGTACAGGTCGTGCAATCGTTGGATGTAGGGCCGGTGCAAGTCGCGCAAGAGGCGGAACAGGCGGAGCAGGTTGCCCCGTTCCCGAAACTGCCGTCGGGGCAGGTGACGCCGTTGGCGGTGCTCGGGAGCGTCGTACACTTCGTCGCGTCGTTCTGGTCTTGGGTGTACTTTGATCCACAGGTGATGCAGTTCCCGGTTCCATCGGCACAAGTTGTGCATCCCAGCTGGCAGACTAGAATGATCCGTCAGTTTCCCCAACAAAAGAATCTAGAAAAAAATCCGCCACACACCTTTACAGTCCCCATTAGACGTGGCGAAAAACCCAGGCGCACACTTCGCGCAAGCTGTGCCGTTGGAGGCGGTTGCCCACCCCGGGTTACACGCACACGTGCCATCCGAGGCACACTCCCCATTTAAGCAGTTGCACGTCGTCAGGGGACTCTTGAACGGCGGCGAGAGACACCGTCCCGACCCCGTAATGCCCTGATCGCACACCGCGCATCCTGCGGGACAGGCTTGACACGTGGGCCCGAAGAATCCAGGAGCGCAGGTCTCGCAGGACGTGCCGTTGAATCCGGGCGCGCAGACACAGGTGCCCGACGACGAGCAGGTGCCCGAGCTGGCGCATGGCGTGGAGCAGGTCGAGGACTGCATGTCGAGCAGTGCCATAGACGAGGTGGAGGTGATGGGGAGCTGGGCCGTGTCGGGGATGGAGTCCCAGAACACGACGCGTCCGTTGGAGCCGAGCGAGACAGCGGCCCAGACGCTCGAAGACATGGCAAGCGACTGCGCGGCGAGTGGGACGGACACATTGCCGACGGGGGCGGAGGGCAGTACGCTGAAGGCGGCTTTACCAGAATAGAGAGAGTCGGAGTAGATGGATAAGCCAGGCGAGACCGCCACGTTCAGCGGAAGAGAGAGTGAGGACGTCGAGTTGAGGCCGAAGCCGGGCGTCGGTATTAACGAGGCGTGAGGCGAAGTGAGAAGATCGTGAACGAGTTGAGGGTTCGTCGTCGCGGTGTATTGGCCCGGTAGTAGAATGACACTTTGGTTCACCTCTGATGCGGAAACAGATACCCCGACTGTGGCTGAAGTCAGCAAGCACCGAGGCTGGACAGGGCAACAACACGTACGGGATGTATTCGAGGTGCCTTGCAGACATTGGCCCGCAACGCACACAATGGCAGTCGATGAGTTGAACGATGAGGATGCTGAGCAGGAGCATAAGTCGAGGAACGAGAATGGAGATGCATAAGGACACACCAGCTCGTGCACCCCACGCAGAAAGCATTAAGGTTAAACAGAGTCGTGAAAACATGAAGAAAGACCGTCGAAACGAAGTAGGTGGTGGAAGAGGAGGGAAGAAGATAGGCTTGTATTATGATAAAGAGAAGACAAAACCCGTCGCGTCGGTAGCCGAGTTTCCATTCCGCCGTCCATTGTGCTTTTCGAGGACAATGGCCAAGGACAATAGGATGTCCAAAACAGGAAGTCACATCAAAATGATGTAACCCAAATAGGAATAAACAAGGGCAGCATCCCCAAACGGCACAAGGGCATTGCCGGGAACAACGTCCAAACTACTTTGTATTCTTACGGAGTGCATGGCAGATGCCCTCAGTGTCAACGAGCTTCAAGGTTTCAGAGATGCCGGTGACTGCTGGATCGAGCCAGACCAACAAATCGGCAATTACGGGGATCGTGTGCTTTCCTTTGTGCCTGATTGACAACGTCGGACTTTGAAAAACATTGAGATGGATGTGAAGTTTTCCAGGCCCTCTCAATACGATAAATTATATCCACGAGAAACTAGATCGTCCAATAAAATACAACATAGTCAACCGCTCAACGCACATGAGGCTTGACGATCAACGGGAGCTGGTGCTTAGCTTTAGGATCGCTCTTCAAGATAGGCCGTTGAACGATAGTTGACTTCTTCCCGATGTCCTCGATCGGCACGGCCAACTCGAACTCGAAGGCGCGGACCAGCGTGAAAAGAAGCGCTTTCATCCTAGAACGTATCAGGATCCCATTCCCCGTGACTCTGTCGATGAGCAGGCCACTTACTCGACGAGAGAGAACCGATAGCCCTGTAAGGTCATGTCAGTCTCCGAAGCTGAAGAATGCGAGGAAGGAACGGACAATACACGCTCTCGGACCGCCGAGGAACGTCATCATATGTCCCCAAACTCCGGGGATCGAGTTGGATATGTTGCCAGATTCCCACCGTTCAGCGCTGCAAACAGATGAGTGCGCTTGTCTAGCGATCCTTGACTGGTGGCATACATAAATTCCGTAGCATCTTCGCCCCAAATGGCTTTGTCGCGGTTGAGTGCCAGAATGGGTATCAAGCTATGAGGAAGCATCAGTCTGCTCGGAGTAAGGCATACTCTGGGGCTCACATGGTCTGTCCTTTCTTCACTCTATTTCACTCAAAATCAGACCACATTCAGGAGAGGACGAAGTCAGACGCACTGTAGTGTGTCGTGTACCGCGCCATTGACATCAGTGAACGGCACAGCCAGCGGGACCACATCGTCTTGGACCGCTTCGCGGACTGTATAATTCGAATGAGTGTCTTGGAGAACGACTGGGAGGAGTCCGTTACCGGTGGCAGCCACGGGACAATGCACGCGCAATGTCTCGCGAACGACGCATTCCAGATACGGAAGGGCGTTCAATTCATCCATGGTAGGATTGTCTGTCGACACGCTCAACAGCTCTTCGCGCAGCCGAGTCTGAGTTGCGGGGCTCTGCGTCAAAGCGAACAATGCCCATGTCGTAGCCGTGCTGAGTAAATCCTTGAGAACAAGGCCGGAAATGATGATAAATGCCTTCACCTCGTCGTTTCGTGGCCGGCAACCAAGAAGGTGGGGACCTCTGCAACAGAGTAAGATGGTGAACTCAGAGTAAGCATCAGGAGCTCACGAGCCAAAACATCCAGATCATCCAAGCGCTGGTTGGCGGGAATGTCCTTCGCTGTGTTAGCCCGAACGAGGAGTGAGAAAAGATCCCTAGACTGCGTCCCCTTCTCGTAAGTCCCACTGTCCGCGATCTCCTTCTTAGCATCCTGCAACAGCTTTTCTCCGATCTTATTCATGGTAGCCTGGGCCCTCTTCATAGCCCTGCCTGTTTCGTCGGTCTGTCCTGATAAGCAAGTCAGGTTCGAGCGACGACAGGGTCACTCACAAGATGACGGAAAATTGGGTGAACAGCTTGCAGGATACCAACAAGCCTGATTCTCGTGGCAGCTGCGAACATCGTCTTGAAAGCAGCCGCGAGCTCTGTCTCTTCGTCCGATGCGACAGAGTTGAAATCGTAATTGAAGCCTGTCAGAGGAGTCAAGCAATCGCCAGCCCCGATCGGGTTGCCGCGTACCAGCCAATCCGATTATATCCAAGGTCACTTTGTTCAACCAGGGTATCACGTCCAGTTCCACAGGGTCTGCATTCGCTTGCTTTGCCCAAACGTCTCGCAACTACCACATAAGATCAGCTCCCGGAAGCTGCCTCGGCGCTCGAATGGACTGACCTCCAATGACTTGTTGACAAAGATACTCGTCAACTCGCGGACCTGAGGTGGTCCGAAAGCTGGATTCTGCGAGTTCTGGTTATCAAGGGTGACTCAGGGTCGACTTGTCTACCAACCATGATCTTGCGCTGTCGAGTTGCGTTATAAGCTGGAGCTAACCTTGATGACATGACAACGGACCTGTCTCCTGTGCTCGTCCTGTTCTTGCACCAGTACACCTGGAGACAATTTTCGTCAACACGGCGCGTCTCTGAGAAGATATCGGCATGGATAGCACCAACCCGGTCCGACCACCATTTCAAGGGCGAAACGGGACTGCTTGGGTTTCTGATAGATATAGCTGTTCGTGAGGAAGTGGTTGAGAGCCTTGACATCCACGGTGTACAGCCGGCTCATCTAGAAAGACCGACGAGTGAGCCAACAGTCCCCTGCGGCTCCCCGCTACATCAGGGTTGATCCCACTCACTCCGAACAACCCTTTGTACTTGATCGTCGGCCCGTATTCCTGCACCCACTGCTCGTGTAGCACAGAAGCCTCCGCTCTGAAGATATCCCTCATGTTTCCGTAGAACCAATGCGTCGGTTTGGGTCCTGGGAGATGCTTGATGGGTGAATTGAACTCCTGGTACACCAGCTTCAGCAGCTCGTACAGCCCGAAGGCACCAAGCGTTCCGCCAAGGGCAACGAGGACCTTGGTGATCATCCTGATGACTGACTTGCGGTAGAGGGATGGCAAGTGGGAACTTGACGAGACAGACACTGCATTTGGGAACTACGCAACCCACTTTATCTACCAGTGATGACGCGAATCTGATGACATCGACAGTGACCTCCAGCAAGCTTTTCTGTAAATACTGCACACAGGGACAGCAGACACCCTCCAAGGTACATATGGTACGTGTCTTTGGGGACATTCTTGCCACGCGAGTGCATCCGAAAGCCAAAAACGCGTCACAAGAGCAGGAAAAGTCCAGGAAACTACTTGTTTCCAAATCGAGACGCCTTTCCGCGTTGCCGAGCGCTGTACTGGCCGAATGACCTGTCGTGCCGAACGCGTACGTTGATAGAGAGATCTGCTTACGGCACAGACGGATACTGCAACAGTGTATTTGATCTGATAGCCATGTAGCAGAAACACAGCTGTGGAACGTGTCTGATGATATTGGACATCGACTCCAGTCATAAGCGTATGTTCTGATGTACAAGATTCACAGCACCGTCTGCATACATTGAATGGCTCTCTAGTGTGCTCTACTCGCGAGATTTAACAAGGGCATCCTCGATTCCGCCCTCCAAACAACCCGAAAACGGGGGCCTGCTTCGCTACGGTGCTTGATGGTCCACGAGCAGAATCATTCGCTGGCTGCTCTAACGCCGCTCCCTCCACGTCAGCTTTCCATTGCCCGTAGGTCTGCCAAATGAGCCATCCGATCCCACCCAGCAGCACGGATCCTACCACCGCTCCAATCGCGAATAGCTGGACTGGTGAACTCTCAGACGTCGTGTGAGCGTCTTGTGATTCCGCGATAGTCTCCCATGTTCCCGGGCTATAAGCTATGTCCTCTTTGGAAGCCGGATAAGAGACGTCTGGGTCCCGGTACAGTCTCCCTTGGGGGCCGGGGATATGGTCACTTGCCGATGGGGCAGAGGACGATGCGAAGCTTGGATGTGCGCTCGAGACAGAGGAAAATCCAAGAGCTGCCGTGGCGTGATAATATGCGTTGCAGTGGGCACGCTGCCAGTGGCTTTGGAGGGGATCGCGGCTTGAAGCAATTCTCCGTCCTCGATGGTCGACACGAGAACTAGAAGCAATCGTGTGTGCTGAACGTGCCAGCGCAGAGGGCAGAGCAAGCACAGGCTGACGCTGCTGCCCTTGGAGCGGTTGCGGATAGTAGCGTACAGTGCTTCGCCCAGCTTGTGCCCACTGTTCCAGCGGGGACCGAGCTCTGTAATGCGTTCGAAGCATAATATCACTTCAAGTGATTCGAGATGGAGCTGGAGAGTTGTTGGGGAGATGAAGGAAGAAGCATGGTGGATTTTTGTCTTGTCTGGCGGAATTAAGGACACGGGACCAGCACGAGCACGAACACGGGGAATGACTGACTGTGATGCGATCACAACAACTCGATCAGCCATTCTCTTGTTCTCTTCCTCTGTCTTGTTTCCGCGCCGCCCACAGTGATGGAGCTCGAAGAGGAAAAGAAATCGTTCCAGGTCGATGCGGCAGATGGGGACTCGCAGCCAGACCCCGACGAGCAGCTGATGCTGGACCAGGGCAATGGCAGAGTCTGGCTCGTCAAGGTCGATTGTCCATGTCCGAGAAAGTGTTCGAAGGTAGTTGACCGGCCCAGGTACCCAAACACCTTCTCGAGCGCTGGACAGCTCTCAACAGAGAAGACTCTCATCTTGCCACTGTCCGCGTATACTCCAATTGCCCTCCGAACAACCGATCGCGCATGTTCTTATTCCTACCACCCAACATCGACCCCAGCCGTCCGCAGGTCCCAAACCCTTCCGTGAAACCGAACCGGCCGCATTTCGCGCACGCAACGAACTACGTTATAGAAGGGAGCGACGAGCCGGACTGTTATGAGTTGGACATGGTGAACGACAATGTAGAAAATCAGGTGGTCATCGCGGAGCGGCCGAAGGACCCGAGCCTGAGCGCCTCCAAGTCGGCGGCGGCAGCAACCGTCAACACCCGTGCGCGCACAACCATCCTCACGGGCCGGATAAAACACGACTGCAACATGCGACCGGCGGGGCTCACCGCGAGCTACCGCAAGCAGATGCGCGAGCGACATCTCAAGGCCAACACGGCGACGAGACAGGTGAAGCGGATCGAGGATGCGGGCATCGCGGGTGGCCGGGGTGCCGTCAACAGGCTCACCAGCGGTGTCAGCACCGGCGCTGGAACAGCATTCAGCGAGCTCGTTGTGAGTCGGACATACAGCGTGACCTTGCGTTGGCACTCTGCTCACCGACGCCTCTGCAGAAAACGAAACCCAAGCCTGCCAAGGGCCAGTTCGAGCGCATGGCGCGTATCCCGCGAAACCAGCTTCTCGATCTGCTGTTCCAGGTCTTCCGGGACCAGCCATATTGGGGTATCAAGCCATTGCGAGAGCGAACGCAGCAGCCCGAGGTCTACCTCAAGGAAGTGCTGTCGGAGATTGCGTTCCTCAACAAGACAGGCGAGCATGCAAGCATGTGGGAGCTCAAAGAAACGTTCAAGGACAAGGACACGTCTGCGGTGCCGTTACCGTCCGGCGCGGGCTTGTTCAGTTTCGGAGAGGACATGAAGATGGAGGAGGGTATGGACGACGACGATGACGACGACGACGACATGGAGGAGGTTGCTGCTGATTGAGGACTGTATTTAACTGACATACATATACTGTATCATACTATTACACACATGCACTATCATGACTAGCTTTTTGCAAGTCAAAAGGGGAATGCAGTCGGATCCTTCGGGCCGGTCATGGCTGACCTTACATATATACGTTTTTGACTGCGACCGCTACCATGCGTCTGGAAAGGCAAACTACCAACAGGTTGCCAACACCACATACATGAGCCGCCTTCCTCATGTATTCGAAGAATAGCTGAGGCCATGCTTGATGCGTACGACTTCGACGAGGACGTAACGAGTGTTATGGATTTTGCATGTGGATCAGGTTCGTCGCATAGACTCCACATCGCGACTATTTCGTACTATCGACAAAACGTCCAAAGGGTCAATTTCTCGTGGATTAGCACCATTTGCTCGCAGGATCGTCGGTGTAGATATCGACGCGGCAAAAGTAAACCTATTCCAAGAACACATACAAAACCAAGGTGCTCTATTGCTGGTGACCTGTTACCCTAGATCATCGACACGATGCAACTTCAGGGATACCACCAGAAGAGATGCAAGCTATTTGTGCCGATCTGAAAGGCAAGGCAACGGAACTGGATGGGGAGAAGTTCGATATCATCGTCGTGCGTCTAGCCCGCTCTTCCCTCCTCGAGGCATCTCGAACTAATTTCCATGGTGACGGTATTAGTGCTCTGCTGCATACCACCACTTCCCGGCTATCGACGAAACCACGCGCACACTCGCGTATTTCCTACGCCCAGGCGGCTGCCTGCTGGTAGTCGACTTTCTCTCATCGACCACGCCCATACCAGAAGACGTCCCGCACACACACGGTTTCTCGAAGAAAGATCTACGCCATGCGTTCGACTACGCAGGGTTGATCGAGGTGGATGTAACACAGTTGGCGCGCGCGAGGTTTCACGGAGCAGTCGTCGATCTATTCTTGGCGCAAGGCGTGAAGCCGGCACAGGTCCAGGACACTCGTTGCTAGAAACGGCTGCATTGAAAAAGCCATACATAGCATCTTATGTGAGGTTGCGGACGCGACTCCCGTATGTCCGCCTTCACTTTCACTTCAATGTTGTTCATGCGAGACGCTTGTCAATCGGACTTGACATCTGGTGCATCCGGGCGGAGGCGGTGCAGTGCTGATATAGATAACCGATCGGCCAGCGATCACTTCGTCTAAAAATCTATGCGATTAGTTGTCCTAGCAGCGCAGCGGCACTGAAAGAGTGTCTCTTCGAATTCGCTCCCGTTTTTAAGCCTCAGCGGGGGGTACTACTTTCTCAGTTCTACCTGTACAAAATCTTCACACGCTGCCCAATAAAGGCGGACAATCAATTTATCCGTTCATTCAGATCAAGCCGAAAAGTGCCCTGACGGCCCCACTTTTGTTTGTCGGCCATTGGCCTGTCGCAGCCGAGGTTGTTGCTTTCTACCTTTCTTTCTTGTCCCTCCTTCCCTCCCTCCCTCCTTACCCCTCCCTCCGCCAACTACTCACCTACTAACTAATCGAGTCATGTTCACTCCCCAACTCTGCATCATGGCTCTGACGGCCTTGGCAACAGCCGTTGCTGCTGAACCACACAATGGTCTTTGGTCACGACATCATCATCAAGCCATTGCCCGCGCGGCGCACGCAAACGCAGGGGAGTTGCTGGAGCGCTCCGAGAACACGAAGCGGTCTGCGCGATCGATCGGGCGGAGGATGTGCAAGACACCATCGTCAACGTCAAGCGGTGCCGTAAATATTGTTGCGACTTCCGCAGTCGCACAGGCACCGTCCTCGACCGTCGACCAGACGACAGCGCGGCCGTCCTCTTCGGCTCCGGCTACAGCCGCGCCCCCCAAGTCGAAATCGCCGAAGCCTTCGGCGACGACCACTTCCACCACGAGCAATGCTGCCTCCACGGGTAGCAGCAGCTCCGGGTCCGGGTCCGGTTCCGGGTCTGGATCGAGCAGCGGTGGTGCTGGTGCGCTAGCACTAAGCTCCCTGTTCCCACTGGGACAGGGCTCCGACTCATGGTCGACTTCCCCCAAGGCCTCGTCGCCGCTTCCGCTCTCGGATGCGACGTTCCAGGCCAACAGCGTGCTCAAGGCGCTGACTCACACGTACATGGCGGCTCCCGATGGCAAACAAGCCATGCAGGCGATCTACCCGCAGGGGTCGTATGTCTTCACCTCCGGACACGAGGGCGGGTTCTCGTTCTACGCGCCGGGCCCGAACAGCCTGGATATGACAACGGCCAAGACACTGACGTTCGGGTACTCGGTGTACTTCCCAGCGGACTTTGACTTCAACATCGGTGGCAAGCTTCCTGGAATTTGTAAGCTGTAAAACAAGCACCTGGAACAACTCCATGCTGAACGTACCCTTAGACGGTGGCAACACTGATTCCGGTTCCAAGAGCTGCTCTGGCGGTCGTCGCTCAAACGATTGCTTCTCCGCGCGTCTGATGTTCCGTAAAGACGGGGCGGGCGAATTGTACACTTACTTGCCCCCAGGTTTCACCGCCAACAATCGCGTGTGCAGTATCGGCCCTAAATCAGAATGCAACCCGACGTACGGCGCATCTGTCGGGCGCGGCTCGTTCTTCTTCAAGGCTGGCGAATGGACGACCATCTCGGAGCGCATCCAGCTTAACGACGTTGGGCAGGAGAACGGCCGGCTCACGCTCTGGGCGAACGGCCAGCAAGTGATCGATGTGGACGGACTGGTCCTGCGAAACAGCGCTGCGGGTGTCATGCGCGGCATCCAGATGCAGACCTTCTTCGGTGGAAGCTCCGTTAGCTTCGCATCCCCCAAGACCCAGGATTCGTACTTCTCCGACTTCTCGGCTGCGATCATCGAGAAGCTGTAGAGTGCCCACAGCTGAACCACGACACGACCGTTACGTCGCGCCCCCGCACGCAGTGTTGGTTCCGACCGACCTGAGCGAGGGCTCCCTCATCCCGCAAATCCATAGTATATCATGTTATCGATCCACGAGTGCTTTGCCGGTCACGCACTTGTATTTTCAGTGAAAATATCGAATATCCCTGGCCTGGGCCGGGGCTGGATTCACTGTAATCTAATTCATATATGAAATACATTGTCCATCCGATATATCCGTCATCAAGCCGAGAATCGAGCTTTGTTTATGTCCCTACCATTCCATTAGGCCCCGATCGGGTGCACTGCTTTGGGGCAGTTGCCTACCAAGCAAATGCTTCGGAGCTCGTCGGAGCTCGTCGGATTTAGGTCAAGGCAGTCTCGCAAATGCTTGGGGCATTCCGTCACATAGAGTCACGAATTACAAAAACGTACTTATACAACGCGCCGTCCTTGTTGATCATTGTCCAATGCCGCGCCGAACGCGCCCTCCTGGGTGCCGCGACGCATCCCGACCCTCCGAACACGTCTCCCACACTGAGAAGCAGCGTCACGGCATCAAGCTGGGTTTGGACAGGCTCTGTGGGCGGAGGGTCTTCCGAAGGCGCAGTCGGGTTCTCGTCGGGCATGTAGTCGTAGCGGAGAAAAAGATTGCTATTTTAGGACATGTCACATATGTGACTACAGCTCGAGCGGCGGCGGCGCGTCAACGTTTGAGTCTTCAACATGCCGAGGTCCACTGGTTGTGAGATATGACTATAGAGAAGAACTTGATGCCTTATCCGAACACAATGTCAACGAAATTTCCGGGGAGCCAAGTACGCACTTTGAGCCATCGCAAATCCTATCCCGCAACCTTCAATCACCACCGTGTCAATGGGATTCCCACTTGAATGTGTCGATGAGCATGGCATCACACTCCGGAGTCCAAATCCTCCTCCTTAGCTAGTTTATCCGAACAGCAGTGTTGTTGAGGGGTGCAACTGCGAGAGATGGTGCGGGAGGTAGCAAGGAAGATGTGTGGGACAGTAGTACGACATTGTTCGGCATTGTTAGCGGGCTGGAGTACAATTTCTATATTAGACAGCCGAAGCGGCGTGACAACTCGCAGGCAATTCCAGCACAAGGCATTGCGTTGCCGAGCACCCTCTCACAAGGCAATCTGATGACACATCATCCGGAAATACATCAATCAAGCAGTTGCCTAGGTTTTGGCTCTAGGCAGCTCGGCAAGCAGTGCACCCGATCGGGGCCTTATACCCTCCAGAATTACCATGTGGATGAATACCATGCATGTGGTCTGAATAGCACATCTTTAGGACAGGCAGAAGCATTTTCGAACCTTTTCTGTTGAGTGGGCCACGCTCTCCGCATAGACGAGTCGAAGCGAAGTGTAGGTGGCTTAAAGGCCTCTTGTACATGATTAGCAGGATCGTCAAGTCAGGTCCGCCTTGATTGCGATATCCCCGCGAACAGCTTTCGAGCAGCACGTCCTTCACGTGATCGTGGGGTGTCGTCTGATGACCCTAGCGCATCACCCTTTTGCGATCAATTTTTTCCAATTCATCCGCTGAGCGGTGACATACGCTGGCTACCCCGGGTCTCTTTCGACGCGTGGCGGCGGCGGCGGTACTGCGTCGTCGGCGCATTCCCAATCCCGCATCCTCCTCCTCCCAAGCTTATTTCTCTCAACTGGATTGCTTCCGCCGCCGATGTTATCATTCACTCAGCGCGAAGGAGCAAGAGGATGTGTTTCTGGAGGCTGCCGAAGCGCCTTGGCCCGTATCGGGCCCGTCAAGCCGGACAGCTGATCTCGATGCCGGGGTCGAGGATGGGGAACTGCTGCATTCGGGCTCTGACGATCCGCGGTATCCTTCGCTTAGGCTGGACGAGTGGGAAGCCGCGTTCAAGCATAGTGCTGCGACATCCAGAACAACCTTCTCATCTCCGTCTTCGTATCTCAGGCGGAAGACTGCTGCTGCAGCTGCTGTCTCTGGTGCTGGGGTCGAGGACAGTGAATGGTTACAACCCCGCGGAAATGGGTTCTCCGAGAGCATGGACGCAGACGTGGATGAAGCGAGGCCCCGGTTCGATTGGAGACTTTCTTCGTCTCAGCTGCGCCGACAACGTGAGGAAGAGATGAAGAATAATGACAAGTCGGGCTCCACTTCTACCAAGCGGACACATCCTCCAAGTATCACGGTGGGGCAGGGCGAGCCGTTCTATGATGCGATTCAACTGTATACAGAACGGTCCGTTGTCCATCAGCTCTCCTCTTACCAACTCTGACCGGCCTGCGTGCAGCTTCACGGAGATGCTGGTTGCGGAGCAACAAGAAGCTGAGGCTGTTCTGAAGGAACGGCTCTCCACCTGGTCTTTGACGCGCCTGCAAGAGGAGGGCTACTCCATAACCGGCCTTTCATCCTTCTGGCTACAGGAGACTCAGTTTGGGCTCCCGGTTGCGTCGTTCTCTCTCGGACCGGGCATATCGCTCCCTGAACACCGTTTCGAGTAAGCCTGAATGGAAAAATCTGCGGTGGTTTTCGGCTGACAAGATGTACTCGCAGCAATGGTTCCACTGTGCTCGTATCGCGACTAGACCCGCTCAAGGAGGGCAACGTGACAGGCTCGGTGATCTCCAGTTCCAAGTCTCAGATCCGCGTCACCTTCCGGGAGCGTCTCCTCGACTTCGAAGATGGGCTCTGGCGGCTCGACGTTGGCAATTCGAATATCGCGCACGAGCGGCAGCTCGAAGCCGTTAGGAACTTGAACCACGATCCACAGCAGTTGGAAGAGGTGCCCGTCAGTAGTGATCGCGAGGTCATTCTGCTGGGCACGCATCTGCGAGATGTGTTGCTGGATACCTTCCAGCCGGGATCGGAGGACGAGGAGATGACGTCGAAACCTGTAGCTAATGCGCCAGGCGTGTTCGCCGACGACCAGCGGATTCACAGCTGGGCACTGCGCTATGCGAAGCCTGATCCGCTTGTGATGGAAGGCGACCCCCCTCTGACCGGTCTGAACGAGACACAGATTCGGGCGATGGCTTTGATGATTGGGAAACGTCTCAGTCTCATCCAGGGTGTGCGTGCAACCGATCATCTTGATGCCCAGGACTGATCCGTTCCTTCAGCCTCCGGGAACAGGCAAGACGAAAACGATCATCGAAACGATTAAGCTGCTCAAAGTCCACTTTGATGTTCCGCACCCGTTGCTGGTGTGCACCTACACGAACGTTGCAGTTGACAATCTTGTCGAGGGGTTCGCAGCAGCGAACATGCGTCCGCTCCGAGTGGGATCCGCCGGCCGAGTGAAAGAGTCGCTCAAACAATATACCCTCCACCAGAAACTTGCCGAACATCCCCTGCAGCAAGTGCTCGAGCCGCTCCAAGTGGAGAAGGAGAAACTAGAAAAGCAGCTGGATGAGCTGGACACCAAGATAGACGAGGCCGAAAAGAAGACGAAGACGGCGAACAACAAGGCAGCGGAACGACTGCTGGCGATCCGCTTGAACATGGATCGGGAGAAAACTCGGAAGCAGAGGCAGCATCGATCGCTCAAGGGGCGCGTCTATGCACTGCAGATGAAAATGCTGAAGCACATCATCATGGAAGCCGATGTGGTGCGTTGTTCCTGTTGGTCCGCCTGCTTTTCTGATCGATCCCTGGCATCCCAGATATGTACAACCTGCATCACCTCGGCCTGTCAGGCTCTGCAGCTGGTGGATTTCCCGGTGGTATTCTTGGACGAAGCGTCGATGTCGACAGAACCTGCGACGCTTGTGCCCATCATGAAGGGTGTAAGTCCTCTGGCTATATGCTATGAATGACCCGCTCATGCTCTTCAGTCCCGCCACCTATCTCTCATCGGAGACCATAAACAACTTCCTCCGGTCATCTCAAGCCTAGAAGCCAAGGCCCTGGGCCTGGGGCGTAGTTTATTCGAACGGCTGACGGACGAAGGAGGTATGTGTTTGATTGACAATGTTTCAGTTCTTGCTCCTCATTGAGCGGCAGAGGTGCCTTCGATCATGCTGGACACACAATACCGAATGCATCCTGCGATCTCATCCTTCCCGTCGTCCGAGTTCTACAACTTCCGTTTACGGGACGGGACGGTCGACCCGACGGGTACCGTCGCCGCGAGGTTGACACCGCCCAATTCAGTGCATCTGCCCGTCAACGAACGAGGGGACCGCCCTGCAGTCATCTTCTTGGACCATGTTGGGGGCGAGGCGATGAAGGATCGGAGCAGGGTCAATCTGCCCGAGGCTGCGATTGTGATTAGCGTGATTGAAGATCTGCTGTTGAACAACCCGGTGCGTGTGTCGCCTACAAATGCGAAGAAGCTCAGGACTGATACTCCGACTGTCAGACCCTCAACGGTAACGACATCGGTGTCATTGCCCCCTACGTGGCGCAGATATCCCGGATCAACCGCATGCTGAACACCGATGCGAAGTACGCCGACCGGTTCCAACAAGTCCTGGGCTCCCATCGCGCGATGCAGATGCGCCACATCGAGGTTAAGACGGTGGACGGATTCGAGGGCCGCGAGAAAGAGGTCATCATCTTCTCCACAGTGCGCAACAACTCGGGCGGCCATATCGGCTTTCTGGCGGACAAGAGACGGCTGAACGTCGGGCTGACGCGCGCCAAACGCGGGTTGTTCGTCATTGGGAGCATCAAGACGCTGGGGGACGGCCTCAGGGCTGACACGAAGGTGGCGGCGACAGCAGCAACACCAGTTCCAGCTCCAGCAGCACCGGCCCCGGTTGATATCGCCCAGATCAGCGATTCGGCGCAGATCCAGGTCGTCCCTCCCCGCAAACGCAAGTCGCGTGGGTCGTGGAAACGATACACAGACTGGCTGCTGGACCAGGGCCTGGTCATCACTCTGGGAGGCGAAGCGCTCTCGAAGGTGCTCTATGGGAATGTTCCCAAGCGGAAGGTGCCGCTGTCGGCGAAGGTGTAACTTATGAATACTAGAATATCTTGATTATAGTTGTATGGTCGCTCACTATTAGGTCTCTGTGTAAACTACTGTAGCTCTTTGGCTTATCTTGTGCCCTCGCTCCCATGTCACGCTTGATCTCACAGCGAGCTATTGCCCCGCTTACGATTATTGCTGATCTGCGCGGGGAGGGTGGGGAAGTCTTCAGTCTGAGATCGGAGAGGATACGCTAGTAGGACTTTTCATCTGGGAGCAAAGGCGAGTCCAAGCATGAGACGATCTCATCACGATCATTGACAGAGATCTCCCACGGTCGCGACTTGCAAGTCACTTCGCGCCTACTCACGCGCAAAGTCACTATTCATGGTCCGCTTCAAGGTACTCGCCATCGCACACTTGCTGTTCTTCTGTTCTCACTCTTCCAACGTAAGAACCGCTGGCTGCTCGTGGAGCTACTCCCCGTCCCTGCAACTGGGGCAGCTCCGAACAACAACCTCGACAGCCACAAGATCTGGGCCGCAGTGAAGCAGAGTGTCATAACCAACTTCGGCGATGTCGGATGGGGATCCATTGGTCTTTCTATGAACGGTGTGCCGACTGCTGTCGTCACGAACACACGCTCACGACGATACGGGAACCAGTGAAATACTACTCCCCGACGACGAACATGTGCATCATTCGTGTCGCGCGCGACCACCACCAGATCGCGTGGGGAGCGGTGACTCTGCTGACCAGCATCGAGGGCGTACGCTACATCCCGAACGTCATCCATCTCTCTGGTGTGCAGCCTCCTGCAGTCCGTCTTCCACTCTAAAGTGTCTGCAGGGACCATGAAACACACACAGCTGGCGGCGATCGCGCATGACCGGGAAGTCGTGGCTCGTCTGCGCGCTCAGGCGAAGACTCCGAGTTAGTTTTTCTCGACTGTGCACGCGTTTTAGACTCATCAATGATCTTTCCAAGGCGGATATAACGACTCGTACGAAGCGTACTTGGAAAAGAGCGAAGCCGAAATCGAAGCTCTCCAAGACTGAGCCGCATTTGGGATCCAATAGGGTCTGTCGAATCTGCCGCCCATAGACGGCTCGAGCCCCAATGAAGGTGGCGGCTGCCACGGACAGCGACCCGCGTCCTTGATATGCGATGATCCTCAGTGCGAGGGCCCGATCTATTCCCACAAGGAATATATACACTGTGTAGGCAGCAGACATACATACATCCAAATAGATTATCTACGTAGAATACATAAGATCAGTACACCTTGTTAGTAGTAATTTGTGTTTCAAGAGACGGGCTCCACCTGAGGATGGACAGCCCCACCGGTGTGGCTGTCGTCCGCAACTTCTGGGACGCCTTCTTCGTGACGGCCCTGACGGCCTAAGCCGTCGACCATCCGTGCCATCCGCTCCTCCATTTCCTGCAATTCGGCAGTCGGAACGCCGATTCCGGTTCCACCACCCAACGCAGCGTTGCCCATCCCAAACGCGTAGGGGTTCGCGCTGAGCGGCGCCATGGGACTGATGACACCTCCGGGACTGATCGGCCCCAGACCGCCCATCCCCAACCCGCTCAAGACGACACTGGGGGACATCCCACCGCGCGCAAAGGCCATTTGCGACAGTGCGATCTGCGCTGCTGCGTTGGGATCGACGCCCATCGACGCGACCCGGCGCTCGATCTCTGCGGCAAGAAACATTCGCTGAGCATGAGCGATTTCCTGCGGAGACATTTGCCGTTGCCGATAACCGCCTGGCACATTTGATTGTCTCGATCCTCCTCCGCCGCCGCCGCCTTGTCTATTGTTCCTCGACTTCCCTTTCGACTTTTTCTTCTTCTCTCCCGCAGCTTCTCCGTTCCGTTTCGGAGCACCGGCCTCGTCCTTCTCCCGCTGCTCTCTACGCTCAGCTTTGCGGGCCTCCTTCTGTGCGTGCCTCTCTCGCGCCTCGGCTCTTCCCTTCTCGAGCCGCTCCCGCATTGTGGCAACACCCGTTTCGCTTTCCCACCATCTTCCCTCGGCACCGACGACCGCGTGCTCCAGGGCACTCCGGTCGTGCGAATAGAGACACTTGTCTTTGCCGAACTTGCACAGCCCCAGCAGATCGTACAGGCAGACGTTTCTCCCCAGCCCATCGCGGACGCTACGGTCATCTGGCGCGTGCGAGAACGTGCATTCGGCTTTACGCGCGCAGCGGCCACGGTTGTAGAAGCGGCAAGGGATCCCAGAAGCCGTGTGATGGGCATCCGAGGTGTCGGAGGTGATAGATGAAGATGGGGATACTGAACGTGGTGCCGCATCTGGTGTTGGAGCGCCTGGATCGGAGGAGACAGGTTCTTCGGTTGCCTCCTTGGACGCTTCTGCATCTGGAGCAGGTGCGCTGGCCTGCGTTTCCGCCAACGCAGTCTTAGCAGCCGTGTTCTCGGGCGTCATGGACAGAACGGTTTCGAAGTCTAGGCACATGAGCCATGCAGCAGAGAACGAGTGGAAGGGAATATGCGCACCGACGATCGCGCCTGCGGTATCGCCATGACCCTTGCGGGACATACCACGCACATATCGCGCCTCGACGAGCTTGGGATCCAGCGCCAGCGCCTTCGCCGCAACAGCCTCCGCCTCCACGAATCTGTCGTCACGATAAGCATCTCCGCCCCGAGCCGCCCAGGCATTGCCTAGTAGTAGAAGGATCGGACACACCTCCCGGCGTACAGATACGCGGTAGCCAAATCACAGTGCACCACCGGATTTTCCCTCCACAGCCGACACGCATCGGCGAAACACGTCGCAGCGCCGTTGTAGTTCTTGAGCTTCATCAACGTGACACCCTAGCGCTCGTTAGCCGCCTCGTGTGACGAGATGCGTCGGATGGAACGCACAAAGGTCTGCCTCTCGCTCGCGCGCACGCGCTTCTGCTCGACGATCGCCGCGCGCTTCTCCGCGCGCGCCTCGAGCTGCTCGGCGAGCGTAGGCATGGCTGTGTCCGATGTCAAGACGACAATGACGGGATCATTGGGGTCGGCAGCGTCTGGCTCTGCCGGGGATGGGGCCGCGGGTGGGGGCGCCGGGGCGGGGGCGGAAGCGTCCGACATGGAGAGATAGTTGGAGGCGGGTCGAATACGAAGTCCCGCACTGTGGTGGTCAAGAAAGAGGCCTGTGCTGTGGGTGGCGATGTCACCTGATCGAGACCTTGTGTTTCGATCAGTGATTGGCGATGGCCCGTCGATCGCGTTAACAAAGTCACGCTCAGTAGAGCGCGCGGCCGCAGTCGAGCGAGACCTTGACTGGGTACAGCATGTTCCGGCTGCTCGTGACACTCGTCGCCTTCATCTCTGCATTTCGATCTGCGGAAGCATCTCGCCAGCCCCGCAACCCAGCCGAACAAACCCTTGCCGATCTTGGAGACGGACCGTTCCGCGTTTTGACCAACGATGCGTTCCCTGACTATCGGGTCCGAGTGAAGCAGATTCCGGTGGGTATTTCACCCTGAGAAGATACGCGGCCTGAGACGACCATTGACCAGAAATCGGCGGGGTTTTGCGACTCGACTGTCGGGTGAGTTTGCCGAGGGATTGCAGCTCACAGATAAGCTGAGTGCCAGTCAATATGCTGGTTACATAGATATCCGGGCTCGCCACTTCTTCTTCTACTATTTTGAAAGCAGGAATGACCCAGCCACTGACGACGTTGTCATGTGGCTGAATGGCGGGCCGGGTGCTTCTGCCTCGGTCGGGCTCTTTTCCGAGCTGGGTGAATCAGCGTCTATTCTGCCCTATCTCTCTCTCGCAGGCCTCATTCACACACAACCCAGGGCCCTGCAATGTGATCTCGGACAACACCACCGAATTCAATCCGCATTCCTGGAATTCGAAGGCCAATTTGATCTTCCTTGACCAGCCTATCGGGGTTGGATTCTCGTATGCAGATTTCGGAGAGGCTGTGGTACGTGCAATCAGAGACGAGCACGCGCTAGATTTAAAATCATCCATGATCTGGACAGCGAACCACCGAAGAAGCGGCTGTAGACATCGCGCGCTTTCTGGCGATATTCTTTGAGTCCATGCCCGGCCTGAAAAATCGGGCGCTACATATCGCTGGCGAGTCTTATGCGGTACGTTACGCAGCCTTCGACATGCCATAAGTAACGAAACATTATCCCTCTCAAAGGGTCGGTATATCCCATTATTTGCTGCTCAAGTGTTCGATCAAAATGAGCTGCTGATCAAAGAGGGCATTGCTCCAGTCAACCTGAGTTCCATCGCCGTCGGTCAGTGTCTTGGCCTCTAAGCTTACTTCCCGCTCACCCCGTCCAGGCAACGGGGTGCTTGAATCGATCCAGTTCCGTCTTTCTGGATCCACGGGTGTAATCGCACTTCTGACCTCGATTCTCTAATCTAGCTCGATCACATCGCAGTACGACATCCAATGCAAGCCCGTTGTTGGGCTCCCTTTGCAATCCATAAGGTCGATCGCCTCGCCCCTTGATGTGATCCATCCACTGACCGTCCCTGCGCAGGGTTTGCACGGAGATGAAACAGGCGGTGAGCACCATTCTGCCATCGCGTTGTGGGGGGATTACCTCACGCCCTGCCCCAGCTCCCCCGATGCGAGATGCGGCTGAGACGGGCCTGCATCGAGACCTTTGATCTCATCGAATGTCAAGCAGCGCGAGGATTCTGCCACACGGCGATAGCTGAGCCATTTGCATTGACCGGCACGTTGGCGTCGCCCTCCCCAGATAAATTTGTGGGATAACATGGTTTAGGTAAAAGCCCTTACGACATGCGGACGGTGTGCATCGGGGATGTCCGAGACACTCTGTGCTATCCCATCACACAGTGAGTGGCAGTTGCCGATCGGCATCACACGTACTACCATTAAAGACTCGCAAACACTCAGGAACATCACTCACTTTCTCAATCTGCCCCGAACGCGAGACCTGCTGTCCATCGATCGGTCGTTTGGCGAGTTTGCCATGGTCGACTGGACGCTGAACACCGCCTTCGGTCTCAGCGGGGATGTCTATCGACCTAGCGCGCCGTACATAGAAGCCCTGCTGGAGCGGAATATCCGGGTCCTGCTATACGCCGGCATCCACGATTTCTCGTGCAACTTCATCGGCATGGACCGAGTCTCGCGTGGGCTCGAATGGCACGGCCAGCGGCAGTTCACATCGCAGCCGCTGCGACCCTGGTTTGTCGAACATAATGTAGCAGGCCAGATCAGATCATCTGGGCTTCTCACTTTTGCGACGGTGGAGAATGCCGGACATCAGGTGTGTGGCGGCTTACCCGGTCAATCACTTCGAATACTCACGAGCACTTGTTGCTCAGGTGCCGCACGACGAACCTGTCAACTCGCTGGCGATGATCAATCGTTGGCTGAAAAATACACTCTAATCACATAAACGTGTAGATTAAGTCCTTCAAAACATGCGTCGAAAGTCCGATTCATTCGCTCGGATCAGACATATGCGCAGATTCAGAATATTCCTGGAAACCCCTATTTGCCAAAATCCGTCAGCAAAAGTCAGCCGAGCGTATAGTACATGGGTAGCGTTGATGAAATCTCTGCCTCGTGCCGCTCGACCCGGCATTAGCCGATTGGAGTGCGCCGCAGACGATGGAGGGGTTCGACAGACTGTCTCTACCCTGGAGCGACGCCGGTGCAGCTAGCCAGCGGAAAGCGACGCGTTAATCCGAGCTACGAAACCTAGTATGCCAAACAACAGGTGTGGAATACAAGGCTACGTAGCGCGGAGGAGCAGTCGCTGGCCAGACTCGACATCGCAACCTGAGGGCCACAAGTTTTCAGCCAAGCGCTCTTATAGTCCTCGCCGCGCCCAATCTGGCTGTGCCAACCCACAACTGCAGAGTCCGTATCAGAATCCCATAAATAGCCTGAATCTAGGGTCCAAACCCAGCCGATCGCAGACACAAACGGGGGCGGATGTGCCCACAAACGCGACGGAAATCTGATGGGGATGGTGATCGGCGATTGACCCTCCCGCTCGGCTAATCCGAGGGACAGATCTGCTGTGCTGGAGGGAGATAGTAGCTGGGGGGGACCAGAGCAAGCGCGGGCCCGCGACGTCGAGACGTGACATCTCCATGCTCCCCCCGGACGTTCTTGCGCGCGGATGTCGCCATGTGTCATCCGATGGAAACGACGATGCACACCCCCACCCAGCGCGAACCATGGGCCAAGAAGGAGCCCCGTTTTCAACATCTGACACGAAGAAGATCTTATCAAAATGCCACTGATGTCTTCATCGAGCACTCATCGTCCAGTCGTGCTTTAGAACTTTGTCACATCGAGTGGGGAGACAGGAAGACTTGGCACATGTGGAGACCCTCCCGACGCTCAGATGCGCGCAGTAGTCCTTTCCAGCGCTTCGGCCAGGGCAGGGTGAGTTGCTTACGCAAGCGTCCTAGAGAATTGTAAACACGTATATCACGTGATCGTGTGCGATGTAAGTGAGAGTCCAGACAGGCAATGTTTATTGGCTTAGCGTTCCGGTCAGTCACACTGACTGACCAACCCAGATGGCTTGAAATAAACCTCGGAATAGTTCTTATGACGTGGTAAGGATGACAAAGTCAAAAAGGTAGATCAATTTGAATTCGTAAATATATGAAAAAAGGCCCTCTCCGGGAATTGAACCCAGGACCACTCCCATCTGCACTTCTCATCGAAGCGGGTTGATACCCGAAGGGAGTATCATACGACTAGACCAAGAAGGCGATGTCGATCATGTCCTATGAAGCAATATGTCACGTCACATTCTTCGGCAGATAAACCAAAAAGAATCGGTCAAGATGTCCATGATAATATCACAGATAACACCATCACGACGACGGCCCCGCCCGCTGTGTCTGTCCCTCGCCATCATTATACATCTCCTTCTCAGCCATCTCCCGCCACCGCTTCTGCCTGCCCATCTTCGTCCGCTCGAGCTCCTTGAACGCGCTCACGACATCCGCCTTCTGCTGGCGCGTGGCCCGCCGCGCGGCATCGACCCCGTGCGCCAGCCTCGTTTCTCGGATCCGCAGCTCCTGCTTCCGCGTCGCAGGCGGCTGCACGCTCCGCCACAGGCCCATGACGGGGTGGGCGACCACGCCGACGATGCCGCCGGCCGGCCGGATCGTCGCATTGGCAACTGTAAGAGGAGTTGGCCCCAGTGCGTCAGAAGAAGGCAAGATAAATCTCACAGCTTCGCAGAGAGCCTTTAACAGCACCGATGAATCCCTTAATGAATTGAGTCCAATGAATATTGTGACTTGAAGGCCCGCTACAGTACCTCTTTCTGTGCGCCTTCATACGGTTCCCGCACCAAGCCGGTGATTCCGTCGTAATAGCCGAAGAACAGGCCCTGATAAAGGCGTTCATCGATGTTCGACGCTCGGCGCATCTCGTACCTTCCCACCCTCCTTGACACCGTCTGCAAAGTTCCCTACCTTGCCTGCTTTGCGTACTTTAGAACCATACAGTTTCGGAACATTCGCCACCCCTTGGTGGATGGACGAAACGATATCGATCACGCCTGCCACGAGTTGGAGAGGTTCAGAGAGTATACTGGCATCGGACTCACCGCGAGGGATGGCTGTCGTCGTTTTGACGATACCATCCACCGGTTTGCTTCGCGGGTCAGTGATTTCATGCATCTGAGGTTGTCTCTCGCTTACTAGAATATCTGCGCAATTCCCGCATAGTAGTTCGTCACCGTCCAGAATATGGCACTCGCTCCGCCCGTGACAGGATTGGTTATCTCTTTGACCGAGTCATACTCCTTCGAACCTGTGATCGCATAGTCAGTCATGGCCAAAGAATCATCTATCTCACGCACGATGGAGCTCAAGGTCTCCCGGTTTGATGAGCTTGGCATCGATGAGGACTTGAGCTGCAAACGTGCTGAATTTCAAGCACTGCAAGGGGTTGTTAGCAACCAGCAACCTCGGGAGCACGATACTAGTTACATGCTCTGTGGACCACCAAGCAGCCACCCGCGCCGAATCCATATCACATCTCATGTTCAACAGCGGAAGATGACGGTAGAAGCTGTCCACGCCTTGGTTCACCCCATTCTGAGACACAGTCAGTGTGAACAATCGCGCGAACCAAGTACTGACCTCGTGTCGGATCTGCTCGCCCATGCGCCCAGCAGCAGCTCCAGCCTGAGGACTAACGGCAAACTTGAGGGCGTCGCACAAGTTCTGCGCAGTTAACTGCTTATGAGGGATGGGCTCCGGTCCGGCCCCAGCTTTGTGGATCATCTCGCCTTCGTACGAGTTGTTCAGCGACTCTAACTCCAGCTTGATTGTTGTGAGCACTCACCCCAAAATGCCTGGTCTCCAAAGAAGGGTACCACGACCGTCGGTCTGCCTTTCGCTAGCCCGATCGCAGTGGTACCAGCGCCTCCGTGGTGGACCACCGCTGAGACTCGGTTCTCAGAGAATAGCCAGTCGTGGGGGACATTTCCCAGGATGAAAACGTGCGAAGGAATGCTTTGGCCACCGAGGCCACCCTGTACGTTCATGTTACGAGCTGGAACTTTACGACCAAGTTACAAGAAGTCGCTTACCCAGCCAGCGGACACTAGGGCTCGAACACCTGCTTGGGCGGTTGCTTCGAATATTATGTCTGCAATTCGTGTCAGATCGAAACCTTTCATGTGAAAGCAGGAAGAGACGGACTGGTCAAAGCCACAGGGTCGTCCACAACGATCGAGCCAAAACTGTGCCCGTCTCATACTGTGTGCGAAGGAGCATGGGAGAGACACACCCAATATAGACAGGCGCGTCCCCAGCTCGTAGAAACTTGGCCAAGTCGTCAGGTGGCGTATAACTTGTTGCGAGATCGAGAAAATAGAATCCGACTACATCTATGTGCGCAGCGATTAACCCGCCCGACAGCAGTCAAGGTGAGCACGCCTACCGATATGATTCTTCCAGTCTTCAGGTTTGGGAACCAATGCTGGACTCATGCAATACGTCCAGGGCACTTTGAGACGGTCCACGACGCTGGGGCCCGATCGCAACGAGAGTGCCTCAAGCCCCAGGGTATATTTACGGAACTTGTTGACCAAGTCGCCCATTCTGCACAACATTGAGTGCCTGGAATAGAATTCAGCAAGAGACAGCCAACCCTTGCCATGTAAGGATGTCGGCCAGTGCGTAGCTGAGATAATTAGTGAGCCCGTTCTCTGCATTAGAAGCTTTGATGTTGACGAGCGGGTGCGGAAATGCGCGAGTCGGCGTCCTGCGTCCTGCGTTAGAAACATCACCCTTGGTAAGCAGAATAGAACGGTCACCAGGGCATAGCTATCGAGAAAGAAGGTTGAATTGAGGCAGTGATGAATTCCGTGGTCAACACGCACTGAAGCTCAGTAAGAGCGGGATTCCGAGTGCTTCGGCGCAATGCACATGGGCAAAGGCAGGAGGGTTGGATATGATGGCGTCCGCAACGAACGCCTGCCCGGTGCGAGTGGACGGAGAGTGGCACGCCGACCAGCACCCCTCCATGACCTGCGTGAGCATCTTGCGCTTCCTTCCGATATCGCCGTTTGTCAACGACGCCATCCCTGGCACCAAGCCCGGATCTATGCACACAGGTCATTTCGAACACCAGGGGGCGTTAGGGAGACGGAGCGACGCACTCTTCACCATATAACTCATCAGCTCCTGTGGATCTCCCCCAATGTCAAAAAACTCCAGCTGATCCAAGGCCTGCTCTTCGACGAACCCCTGGAACATACCGTGCGTCGCAATGCGGACGCGGTGGCCTTCTGCGACCAGCGACTTCCCTAGCGCGACGTACGGCTGGACATCCCCGCGGCTGCCGACGATCATGATAACGATGCTAAGCGGGGGGCAGCTCCGCCACGTCTGCGACGCGTCGACGCCGAATTCCTGCACGTTCTGTACGATCTCGATGGGGAGGTCGGGCAGCGCGCGTTTCAGGTCGAGAGAGATGATGATGCGGCCATCGGGGGAGATGTGCGCGGTTGAGGTCAACCCTTGGCCCGAGGCGGTGTAGTCGGAGTAGTCTGCGACACGGACATGAGATGGACTGTTCGCTCGACGCGGGTCATTACGGTGGATGTACAAACCTGTTCGGATGCTGCTTCTGTCATAGTCAGAGTCCCGGGGGACGTCTTCTGAGAGACGCTCTCGGTCTTGCATGTGAGATGGGATACTCATGGCGGTTGTGGTTGTGGAGGGAGAGCAGCGATGCGCGAGTAACGCGACCCGTGGATGACATCATGTGGGGGCGGTCACCTGTGATCTCGAACTCTAGCGTAGATCTCAGAATGGTGACGGAGCCGTGAGATGCCTGGAATCCTGCAGAAAATTTGGACATCATTGTTCCAGTACCGGTACGCCCTGTCATGAGCATGAGGCGGGCCCGAGACCGACTGTCGTTGACCATGTGATTTCACTCAGGCAGAACGCGGGCACGTGTTCTCCACATGATTTTGACGGGGCCTCTGAGCAGAGAATCATCAGTTCGCTGTTCGACGTTTGACGTTCGACACTCGACACTCGACGCTCGACGCTCGCCGTTCACCGGTGCTGTCGAAGCCGAAGTTTTGGTCTCTGGTCGCTGGAATTTACTGTCCCTGGTGGCGTGTGTGCGGCCTTGGTGCAAGGTTCTTCTACATATTTGTGCCCATCGGATATTGTGTCAGACAGAATTGTGCACTTGTCCTGTACAACAGTCATGTTGGAACTTACTTACTGTGTTTTTATACTCAGAGGTCATCAGTAATCTGTTTGTGCAATGGAAGGGGCAAGCGCTCAACTCTCAAGATAAAATCCGAGAGCCTCCACTAGAGTTGCTCGTTGACCATTGACGGGATCCGGGCCGACTGGTAGCGACTCCGGGGCTTACAGAGGGCGATCTGATTTTCTTAACCAGAGCTTCCAAATGCATTACTCGGAATCCTGCAACTGATAATCAAAGTGAGTCAAAGATAATCCTATGTTTCCTGGTTGCACTGTATCTGCAGCATTATAATGATATCCACGACCCGGTGGACATCGCCTTCTTGGTCTAGTAGTATGATACTCCCTTCGGGCGTTGACCCGCTTCGATAAGAAGTGCAGATGGGAGTGGTCCTGGGTTCAATTCCCGGAGAGGGCCTTTTTGACAGGATCATCCTTGGCATGCGGCCTCTTCTTTACGGCACACTCCGGGCTTCCTCTCGATGTGACAGGTCTGCTGCTTGTCAGGATTTAAACCCGTTTTATATTCCGAGGCCGGGACGGCAATACTCCGACAAACTACCTGTTTCCTCTTCCTGCAGTGGTTTCCTGCCGAACTCAACCGAATGTCCAGCTACCCACCCCAAACGACATTGTCCTACACTGTTACAACGGTCGACGACTAACAGCGCCTGACGGAGATATCCAGGTCTGTCTAGAGATCCATCGCGTCCAATTCCTGGTCCATAATACGTGCGTCTTCATCCACGTCCATCGCAGGCTCAAATACTGTCGACGCGCGACTGACTGGCGGAGGAGCCCCTCGACCCCGACCGCGCGCCCGACTGCCTCTCGGTCGACCGGGTCCCCGACGTCTCGGAACTGACGCAACGGAAACGTCGTCCTCCTCGTCATCGTCATCATCATCCGAGTCGTCGTCGTCCTCTTCCACGCTGCGCCGGGTGGACGGCGCGGCCGCGGACCCTCTCGGCCGCCCCCGGGGTCGGCCCCTCGGCCTCCCACTTTTCCCCCGACGTGAACTAGGCGCAGCACGTGCCGCGCGGCTGGTGCTGGTAGGCGGTGGCGGCGCGATAGTGTCGTCGTCGTCGTCCTCGCCGTCGTTATCGTCGTCACCCTCGAAGTAGTCGACAACGTTGCGCACACGCGTGTGGTGTGGGTCCGCGCGCGCGTCGCCGGCCCGGGCGGTCCCGTGCTCCTCCTCCAGCTCGTCCTGCGTGCGCTCCTCGTCGTGCAGGAAGCCCTGGATGTCGGGCGGGATTTCCTGCATCTGTACACTCGGCGCGCCCTGCAGATAGCGCAGCTTGGTTTTGATGGCGGTTGTGATGCGGCGCAACGACGCGGTCGTGTTCTGGTTGTCGATCTTGCCCGTCAGTGGCGGGTGGAGTTTGAAATGCGAGTCCTTGAAAAACGAGTCGTACTCCGTCGCTGGGAGATTGTTCGACACCTCCGCCCCAACCAGGACTGACGTCTCGTATGTCCAGCACCGGCTGACGTTCTTGATCGTGTAGCCACCACCGCCGACAACGAGCATCGGGATGTTGAACTTTTTGACAAAATTCACGCATTCGCCGTGAGCTGCGATCGACAGGTTGAATGCACCCAATCGATCGCAGCCTAACGAATCAGCGCCGCACTGCAACACGATCGCGCTCGGCCGGAAAGCATCGATCGTGTCATTCACGACGGTCTTGAAGGTGCTCAGATACATCTCGTCGTCGATCCCATCCTGGAGCGGAACATTCAGGCAGAAATGCTTCCCTAGGCCGTCACCGTTATCGTCCAGTTTGCCCGTCCCAGGAAAGAAGTCCCCTGTGTATTTATGGAATGAGAGTGTCATTACCCTGTTTGACTGATAGAACGCGAATTCAACTCCGTCCCCGTGGTGAATGTCGATATCGATGTAAAGCACCCGCGGATGATATCTGCCACACCGTTTTCGAACCCGGAAAAAATATAAATAGAAGAAGCAGCAAAATGCACACCTGAGCATCTCGAGAATCGCGAGAACGATATCGTTGACGTAACAGAACCCGCTAGCTTCCCCGCGTTTCGCATGGTGCAGTCCACCCGACCAGTTGATCGCGATGTCCGTCGTCCCCGCCATCAACTTCCGCGCACCTGCCAGCGACGCGCCCGCGTACATCTTCGCGAAATCGTACATATCCGCGAAGATAGGACAGTCCTGGCCGTCCTCGCCACAATTGAACTGGTCGATCATATCGCGCATCAAATGGGAGTTCATCGGCGTGACTCTGCAGCAGAGATCAGGCAGAACATCCGGCTCATGCGCCCAACACCCACTTGGAGAGAAAATCGATGTAGTCTTTGTCGTGGTACGCTTCCAACTCTGCGCGCGTCGCAGCGCGTACGTCGTAGATGTAGTGGATCTTTTTGTCCAGTCCGTAGCCCATCACAAGCGCGTTGGTCAGCGTCAGCCGGTGTGGTTTCATTGGGTGCCTGCGGTTGAATTGGGTTTCCATGAATTACGACCGAGACACAGACGCACATCGAGCCATAGTGATGCGCTCCCACGCCCTTCGGGAAGTAATACGAAACAATAGGACGCGAATCCATCTATACAGACGTGGAATAAATCAGCTTTACTGCCCGAGACCCGGTGGAAATGATTGCGGGCCGCTGAGACGCTGTATACGCACCGAGATGCGCTCCGTGATGGGGGTTGCGGTCCCATGAGAGCCTCTGTCGAAGAAATATGGTGACGCGCTGAATGTACTCGATTGGCTTCCCCGGGCCATCGCGATGTTCAAGTTGAGCTGCAACGGAAATCAGAATTTAGCTGTCCCTCTCAGGCTCAAGCCGTCGAGCTATTCGTATTGAGATATTATTATTTGATATTTTGGGAGGTTCTGGTGCCAGAATTTCGATAGGACAGAGTCGATAAGAGGCGGGAGGTAGGAGGTGCGGTACAAGACGCTTTGATGGCCATCAGTGATCGATGATTTGAGACTCTGTCAGCAGGGCACTTCCGTCTTTCTAACCTGCCTCCTCCTTCCTGACATGGAACGATGCTAATCCCAAGAAATCGACGGGGTTCAGTGCATACTCACATGTGCTACACAACTGCTTCTCACCTTGTATGCCTCATGGTACCGGCCAACGACGTTGTCGCCAATGCGTGAGCTTGAAGGAATAGGCGCGAGCTTTAGGACATGAGAAGATAACCGAGGCGATATGGTACTTTCTTGGGGGACCCCACTGAGTCCTTTTTATCTGTCTCCTCCCTAGCGTTCCACCCCATCCAAACAGGCGTCGAAGCTGAAGGCGTTTTCGCTGGCGTCGCCTGCGGTGATTCGAGTTCTCAAATACCAGGGTTGAGATGTCCTTCTCTCGAGCGGGGAGAGTTTCTCTACTAGATGCAGACGAGTGTTTGTCGGCAGTGGATTTCATTGAATTGATGGAACGTGTTGTTCGAATGCTCGTCTAGCTGAAGCTGAATCATTCGAATCATTCGAACCGTGTTGACCTTCAATCGATGGGGTTTAGACACGATCCCGATACGCTAACCCGCGGATTACTATGTGGGGACTATCAGGAACTGCCGGATTGTCGCACAACACGCCGTACATGTAGATTTCATTGGATAAATAGCTTTAGCACGTATCAGTCAACATAAGTTGTACCACACCCAGTCAGTCCAGTCTCTACAGGTCAGAGACCTTGTAAGCCATCCACTTCGATTTACCAGTCTGCACGAGATATCCATTGTTGCGCACCGCCACATGATGCGTGATCACAAACTTGTTCTCTGCCTTGATTGGCTGAGCGCGAGCACGGCGCCCTCGCCCACCCGCCTCCGCACACGGCGCGAAACCACCTCCGTGGCCCGCTAAGGGTCTCTCTCCGCCCCCTGCAACGGTCCCTGCGATCCCGGCGCCCGCGGAACAGCCCCATCTGGGCCCTGGTCGACGACAGTGCACCCCGTCGCTCCGCGTCGTTCTGCACGATCTGCGGCCCGCGCGACTCATTGATTTCCGCCCGGAACGCTGCCGAGTGCGTTCTTGACCCCCTCGGATTGCGCTCCGCACGGCCGAACCCGACCTCTGTGCCACCATGGCCGCCGCGAAGCTGACGCCATACACCCGAACTCCATCCCCCATACGCTCGCAGCTCATCAAGGTTGTGCCGGACTCTGTACCGTCCACGGACGAGCTCGAGGCGCTGCATGAGGAGCTGAAGCTGCTCAAAGCGCGTACGCTGGAGCGTGCGAAGAAGGTGACCGAGGACTTCAAGCAGATTGAGGAGACGTACAAGAGAATGAGGGAGAAGGAGAAAGGTAAAGCCAAGCAGATAGAAAAGGTCAAACGCGAGCGCGACTGTGCGTGTCTGATTTATCCTGACCCGACGCGTTCGCGGATGCTGATCGTGTGCTTTCCTTTTTGGTATCTCTTTCTTTCTAGTTACCCCGCTTCCCGAGGCCGACGATATCAGAGTCAAATCGCGTATTCAGTCTAAACCTGTTCCGTCTCTTCCTCCGTCTTCAGCGCGGTCCTCTTTAGACCCGAGAGGGTGAGTGATTCAATTAAAGCCGCTTCGAATACTCTTTCAACAATCGTTGCAGAGATGATGCCAAGAAGCACAAGAAGAAACGAAAGCGAGACGACGAGAGCGACCATGAAGGTGGCATTACCGGCCCTTCTCTTTGTGAACCGTTCAACTTAATTGCTTTGATAGATGGCCAAAAGCCCCGTAAAGGCACGCCACCAGCACAGCATACGCATCCTCCAAAGGCACAAAAGTCGACCTCTTCAGCTAGCCAACCCTCTGCTAAGGTGTGTCGCGCTTTCTCTCTCATACTATGCGTACACGATCTCAACTCCGAAACATCACGAACCAGTCATCCACTAATGACTGGGCTATCCCTCCTCCCGTATCGCTTCTCCCGACACGACCAGTGTTGCCGCCGCCGTCAAAGCCGGGACCGAGCAAACCGACGGATGTAATGGAAGACTTTAGTCAGCTTAAACAGCCCACGCAAACCTCCGTTTCCATCTTCTACTCCTTCATCGAGCCCTACCTGCGTCCCATCCGCGAAGAGGACATCGGATTCCTGGAACACACTGGAGACGAAGTCGAACCGTTTATAATGCCCAAGCTAGGCCGACATTATACGGAAAACTGGGCCGAGATGGACGCCAAGGGCCCCGACGCGGGCGACGCACGCGATGCCGAAGCCGACTCGTATCTGCCACCGGCTCCGAAGTGGGATCCGTCGACGCTGGCTGAAGGCGACCTCTTGAACGAGTCTCGAGGCCATGGCCCGTTGACGGAACGAGTGCTAAGCGCGTTGTTGCCGATGCCGGATGCCACGCCGTGGAAAGGCGTCAAGGCGGCGGAGGACGCGATGGAGGGTAGGCCGGGAGGGAGTGCGGCGGCGGCGGCGAGAAAGGAGAAGATGAATGTGTCTGATCTGGAGGCTCGAATACGGGACACGATGCGTTATCACGGGTTGTTGGATTCGATTGTGCGTTTCTTTCTATGCGACTGTGCACTTGGTCGATTCTAACTGCGGTTGCAGCCTGATTACTCGGACAAGGTAGACGACCCGATTGCCACTGCTCTGCGCCATGCCCAGAGCGAGCTGCGCCAAGTCGTTGCGGTGAACAAGGCTCGGAAAGCCCGTCTCGTCAAGATTGCACGAGATCGGCTGGGTCACCAGGAGTACATCGAGTCCCGGGACGCTATCGATAAAAGCATTAGCAACTCGTACACCAAACTGCAGAAGAAGAACGAGCCTAAGGTGAACAAGAAGAAGAAGAAGCTGGATGACGCTAGTGGCTCGGGTACGCCTGCGCCAGGCGAGGGGTCCTCGAGCCATTTGCCTCCTTGTCCTGCTGCACTGGGTCTCGGTCCAGACGAAGATAATAATCTCGTCGTGCCCGACTCGCTCAACCAACTCGTTCAAATGCGGCGGCAGTGGGTCGACACTGTTGGGGGAATCTTCGATCAGCGACAGCAAGAGGAGCCAGGCTCGATGTGGGGCTTCCCAGAGAAGAGTATCTATCAGGACATGGAGGATGAGGTCCAGGAGATATTGAGAACATTGCCAGAACCCAGGAGGAAACAGACTGCGGCTTCGCCCTCTCGGGACGCGATGGATCTGGGCTAACACTGCATTCGCCCTTCCGACTCGCTCGGGCACCCGACACCTCTTACTCATTGGCATAGCGCCGTTATTTTTTGTGTGTAGTATTGTATATCATCACCAGATGCATAGTGGGAATGTAGTATGACGCTCGAAACGTAAGCAGGAAATGGCGTTCATGCCGTCGCCTTGGCTTTCTTCGACTTCTTCGTCGGGACCTCTGCAACAACATCGTCGCCCTTGCGTTTCTTGCCCTTGCCCTTCTTCTCGCTTTTCGTCTTCACCGGCTGGTCTGGTGTGGCAGGAACGAGGACTTCCGTGTCAACCTCCATAGCTGGCGGTGTCTCGGGCCGCGGTTCAGCGAGAGGCGTATGCTTCGCTGAGTCCGCGCCGTACGGGACGAAAGAGTGCGTGAGTAGCTCTTCCGGGTGTATCTGCCGTGGATCGTTTTTAAACACAGGGCGCGTGTTAGGGGGGATGGTAGAGTCAAGGGTGGGTGTGACTGGCTGGGCGGAAAGGACTACAGTTCTCGCGATCGAATGCGGAGCTGTGAATAGTTCGGTGGTGCCTTGGCGAGGATACAGAGTGCGACGTACCGGAATACAATGCGCCCTTCCCAGTCTTTCGGGGTAACAAGCAGGATATGCCCTTGATTTCCTCGCCCCCGATGGGCATATCTTCCGGTGCATCATCGCCCACAGACCAGATATCGTACGCGACGTGCTTCCGCTGCAGAACCCCCAGTTTTGCGCTGCTTGTCGCGTCGTGTTTCGTGTTCGGAGGAAGATCCAGCTGCGCATCGACGAGATACTTGGGCTTGACCTGTCCAACAAATACATCTCGGATTAACATATGCACATTCGGGGGCAGGACAGAACGCGGAAAGAAACGGCACGCACGCCGTCTGGAATGCGCACAAGCCACAGCTCGAGGTCATCGTTGCCATTCAGCTCATCCCAGCTGAACGATCCGACGTCCGCGGACTTCTCGAGGCGGACTGATTTCGCAGGCGGTTGGTACGCCCAGTGTGGATCGGAGCCCTCGTTCCTGTTGCCCTTGTCGGCGGGGGCTTTGCTCTTGGCTTTTTGCGCGGCTTTGGATGAGCTGGCTTTCACCGATGCCAGCGGCGCGTTGTCGGGGGAGGACTCGCGCGACGAGGATGCGGCGGAGGACATGGTCGGTGGATATTTGGAAAAATCTCGTGATGGCGAAAGCACGCGCAAATAGGTGAACGCCATTCGTCTGAGAAAGGAAATTTTGTTCAGCTCTTACACTGGGCTGCAGGCGGGATGCTCTGCTGTGATTTCCCGCTATGCGGCATGGATTGGGCATTGAGATAGATGAAATAGAAGCAAGTGAAAGTCGTGACCTATGTAAACAGCGTAGACTCAGCATATCTATATGGATGTAGAGCATAATATGAGATGCCAAGATGATAGCGAGATATTTATGGTCAAAAATTAAGCAAAGAGCAAAGATTATGAAACATAAGGTAAGGACGTAACAATAAACCTTACCACGGTGGATGGGCAACGGCTTTTTGAAGCACTTGCCTCAAATCTGTTGCCTTCTGTGCTTCCCGCACTCCAGTTCACTTCATCTTCTGTACCATAGAATTTCAATGCTTCGGAATACTGGAGAAATATGGCTTTCTAGACCGAGGCTCGCCGGCAATATCAGAAGTAAATCTGAGATAATTTCTGTCTCTGAAAGAGTCGAACTGACGTTCTATGGTTTGAGTCTGATATTAAGGTCACAACCTTTCGAATAAACCATCTAGAAGCCTCTGGGGTTTCTCGGTAACATTTCGTGGTCATCGCCGCGCGTGGAAACAAGAGAGAAAACTTCCCAAGTTCAATCTTTTGATGGGGATTTTGTGACCCAAGAATCAACGCGTGACGTCTGAATGGCACAGCCACATAATAATTCCTTTCTCCCTTGTCTTGAGCGCAGTGCTTGTCGATGCGCAATGTCAATGGCCATATCAATTTCGTCTGGCCTTCCTACTCTAGCACATAACACATGCTCCCACACCTCTTCCGCGTCATCCATCTCGACGTCCATCAACGTCGACTCTCAAGTCCGCGCACAATCTGTCAATCCCATCGGCCGTAGTAGTCACTGCGTGGAGGCCACGGGATCCCTGTGCTGCCAATGGCTTGCGACTCGGCGATTGGTCGATGGCAGTCAAAGGAGGCGAGCTCTTTAGAGGCCTTGGATTCTTTGAAATGATGATCAGCGGGACCCAACCACTTCTCGATGGTGGTCGCCCTCAGTTGTTGCATATCAGGTGGGGTCACCACGCGGGAAGACGAGCACGTGAATTGCGGTCCAAGCGAGCAGCGTCACTGGGCTGGCTCCGCGGGTGTGTGAATGGAGGTCGGCGCTGTTGGGGCGATTGCATGGCCCTTGGAGAGCACGGCAGCGACCGTAACCTCAATTTGCTGAGGGAAAGTACCGGATCCGGCTCGGTTTGACATTAATTCCTGGCGGACCTTCTTTCTGGCGTTTCGTCTGCGTCATCTCGGGCTGCAGATCCCTTCTCGTGTCTTCATATGTCATGCGGTCCCTCCCGCCTGAGCACGGGTCGCATATATCACGCCCCAATGGACGGCTCGTGTCTGCATCCAGATGTACCACGACGTTGCCATGTGAATGGACGGCAATCTCGGACCAAACGAGCTTCTTCCCACCATTCCACAGAGTCCTACTCGGGACCATCGGTCCAAAGGTGTCGTCATCGCCTGGTCTATTCGTAAATTCGACGCAGACCTGTGATCCTCTGCGCATTTATCCCATTTCGACGACAACACATGATACGGTGGCGATTTCAGGTGCAAGTGACCCTGCACTGTGCCGCTGCGGCACAGCGGGTTTGCTGGATATTGCAGCCGCTTGCAGCGTTGCCGGCCGGAGTTCTTCTCGCCACACCAACATTCTCCTACATTGCTTCTTCGCATGTTCCCGTTTCGTCTGTCTGGGGCGAGCCCTTGATAAGGGGGATCAGCGCGCGGTGTGAGAGGTGTTCAAGGACTTGCCACTATGTTTTCGACGGTCTTGTTCACCGCTGGCCTTGCCCTCGGGTTGCTGAGGGGGGCTCAGTCTCTGGGCTCGTCGTGCAGCACTCCTCTCGGTAGTGGAACGTCAGCAACTCATCCGGGATCTCATGGGCGTTGCTGACGTCCTCGGACAGGGCCGGACCATCAAACGCATTCTGGCTGCAAGACATCAAGCACCAAGGCACCGCTGCGTACAACGCGAATCCATCTACATATCCTGTCTTCCGCAACGTCAGGGACTATGGGGCCATCGGGGACGGTGTTCACGATGACACAGCAGGTCAGCCTTGACATCGTTGATGACTTATTCTCGCTGACATCTGGGTGCTTACAGCCATCAAGTAGGCAGACCTGATTCTGATGACTGGATTCATTCCCATCTCATAAACTTAGTGCCGCTATCACAGCTGGAGGAAGATGCGGTCAGGGTTGCAACTCGAGCACGTAAGCGCTGGTAGCGGTTTCCTGTAAGTACCACTCCTGATCCAGTAATTCAGTGTGTCTCCTGCGGTGGTCTTCTTCCCCAAGGGGTGAGCGATATGTTTCTCCGCAAGAGTTCGAATCTGACACCATGCAGAACGTATCTGATCTCAAACTCCATCATCCCTTACTACTATACACAGTGCGTAGTGTGTTTCCGAGCCAGGCAGATCTCACCCTTCTCCCAGACTCATTGGAGATGCGATCGAGCCCCCTACGTTGCTTGCTGCTGCGTCGTTTTCTGATCTTGCTGTCATTGACGCCGATCCGTATATCCCCGGAGGCGGAGGAGCCCAGTACTATGTCAACCAGAACAACTTGTAGGTCCTCTCCTCCGTTCAGTTTATCTCTAATAACACTGCGTAGCTTCCGTTCTGTGCGCAACTTTGTGATCGATGTTACGCGCGTTCCCCCGACTGTGGCACAAGGCACCGGCATCCACTGGCAAGTCTCCCAGTCGACGTCGCTGATGAACATCGTCATCAATATGTCAAACGCCCCGAATACGGCGCACCAGGGAATCTGGATGGAGAACGGCAGCGGTGGGTTCATGGGCGACTTGGTCTTCAACGGCGGAAAGTACGGCATGTGGGTCGGGAACCAGCAGTAAGTAGTCAAGCCAGAGCCGTTTGCCCTCCGAGTTGATCGCTTCTGACCAGATTCACGGTTCGTAATGTCACGTTCAACGGCGCTCAGACTGCGGTTTTCGGGGCTTGGAACTGGGGCTGGACGTTCCAAACAGTCACGATCTCCAACTGCCAAGTCGGCTTCGATCTGTCCACCGGCGGTGGCAACACAATCCAGACCGTCGGCGCCGAGGCCATCCTCGATGTTGTGGCTACCAACACCCCGGTATTCCTGCGCACTTCGACGCCCAGCCAGGGCACTGTGATCGGCGCTGGGTCGCTCGCCTTGAACAACATCAAGCTCACGAACGTTCCCACGGCTGTCGGCGTCGTTGGGGGCGCGGTCGTTTTGGCCGGAAGCACAGGCTCGATGACGATCGATTCCTGGGGACAGGGCAACGTCTACCACGGAACGAATGGGGCTGGGACCTTCACCCAGGGCAGCATTGCTGCTCCGTCGAAGGCGGCCGCCTTGCTGGACAGTGCTGGGCGCATCTTCGGACGCGGGCATCCGCAGTATGCTAGCTATGTTGTGTCCCAATTCGTCAGTGTGAAGGATCACGGGGCCAAGGGCGACGGAGCTACAGACGACACGGCGGCGCTGCAGGCTGTCTTCAACACAGTGCGTTACGCTCATCCTCGTCTCCTGATGTCTTGCTAAGTTCCAACTCACAGTACGCTGGCTGCAAGATCATATTCTTCGACGCCGGCACTTACATCGTGACCTCGACACTGCGCATTCCAGCGGGATCTCAGATCGTCGGGGAGGCATGGTCGGTTATCGCCGGAAAGGGATCGGCGTTCAGTGATGTGAACAACCCCCAAGTCGTCGTACAAGTGGGTGCTCCCGGGTCTTCTGGGATCATGGAGATCACCGACATCATCTTCACCACCGTTGGACCAAGTATGTCCTGTTTCACCTACTCTCCTGTAGCTGGTGCTCACATGATGACTTGCAGCACCGGGGGCAATCGTTGTCGAATGGAATGTCCACGAGTCAACTCAAGGAAGCACTGGAATGTGGGACTCGCACATTCGGTTGGGAGGAGGTGCGTGTATGTCGCTGATCCGTCCAGCATAGAATCTGACTGTTGCGACCGCTTTCCAGCCGCCGGGACTGAGCTTGAACTGGCTCAATGCCCTTCGAACGGTAGCGGCGGAATCTCGAATTGCTACGCTGCGTTCTTAGCGCTGCATCTGACCACGGGCTCGACGGCGTACCTCGAGGTGAGCCGCCGCGCATGGCATGTGGGAGTCTCGTCGCTCACGATCGGTTTTTTTTTTCAGGGAACTTGGGTTTGGTTGGCGGACCATGACGTTGACGGTGATGGATTCTCTCAGCTGTCGCTCTACAGTGGCCGCGGTGTTCTGTCTGAGTCGGCAGGCCCTGTATGGATGATCGGGGTTGCTGCTGAGCATCATACGCTCTACCAATTCAACCTCGTGGGGGCGAAGGACCATTACATCGGATTGATACAAACGGAAACGGTGCGGAGCTTGTCGTTCCATTCTTCAGGGACTGATTATCTGCTTTCCAAGCCGTACTACCAACCGAACCCGGTCGTCCCGGGACCGTTTGCGATCAACAGCGCATTCCACGATCCGTCCTTCACCTCCACATCTTCGGCCTGGGCGCTCGTCGTGTCAGGCTCGTCGAATATCTTCATATTCGGCGCTGGGTTCTACAGCTTCTACAACGTGCGCTTTCTCTTTGCCCCCTCCCCACCTCTTTGGGAGAAATTACTGAATCTGCTTGACAGAGCTACTCCCAAACGTGTCTCAACTCGGTCAATTGCCAGAACCAGCTGGTGAACATCGATTCCGCATCCTCTGTCAGCGTCTACTCTCTGTCGACCGTCGGGGCGGTGTTCCAGCTCAGTGTGGGTAGCGCGGGTGTGATAAACCACGCATCGAATCTGAATGGGTTTGCGGCTACTGTTACTGTCTGGAGCCCGTAAGGCGAGGGATCTATTGTCAGTGGCTATGTATCGATTAGTTAAGACAAAATTTGAATAAATACTGAGGAATACGTGAATCGACAAAGTAGTCTGACAGTGCCAGTCGCTTATGTGTTGGAGATGACTGCTGAGCAGGAGTAAGTAGACTATCCCGAGCCTACATTATCCCCACTGGAGTGTTTTCTCGTGATCTTGCACGTGCGTCTGGCGCGGTCACGATACCTGTGACCCGTTCCGTCCGACGAATCTTGAACGTGACCCAGTGCGATGTACGCGCCAATCTCAAGCAAAGTGCGCCGTGTCAGCTGCCTCCGTATATATCTGACGCCGACGCGTCAATTTAGGCCCAAGAAGCGCGCTGCGCCGCGCTGAAAGCCGAGATCGCGAGCCTCGAAGCCGAGTTGGGGTACGCGCCTCGTCATCGCGGCACGAACACTTTCTGACGCGTACCATGGTACGCACATAGAGCGAGTGCAGACGCGGAAGCCATTGTCAAGAACCATATACGGCTGCTGCATCGGTACAACGAGGCGAAGGACGCGACTCAGGTGCGTCCTTATGCAGTCCTGCGTGCCTCGCTCAATGAGTGTAACGTGTCGCGCATAGATTCTTATTGGACGGGTACGCGTGATATGGCCGTTTTGTCTCCGCTGTTCTGACTAGATCTCCTGCAGCTGGCTGCTTTGAGACAGTCGACCATCAGGCAGATTCACGAGGACTTGGATCTGCGCGACAGCGACTAGGGGCTTGGCACACTTCTGAGTCTCAAACCTCTTTTTGATACGGATGTATGCGCGTTTCTCATGATTTTTGACCCCAAATATGACGCTCGATGCCCCGTCCTGTTTAGCTGACCTCTGCGATGCATTTGTCCAGACGACTAAAGAAAGACGAGAGTGAACTACACAGCCTGAGGACCCTCTCCCACATTGCTCGACGGGTACTCGGAAGGAGTGCTGGTGTCGGACTCGTTACCATCATCCTGCTCTTCGAGACGCCCCAGGTCTCGGTGATGCATTCCGTCGTACTCGTCTTCATCGCGCTCCTGCGGGTATCCAGCTCCGTTCTCTACATCCCAGTACCCAGTGATATTGCGACCTGGTTGCTGCTGATGATAGCGAGCCTCTTCTTCGTTGTCCTCGTCCTCGTCCTCTTCGTTCTCGTCCCCGTCGCCGCCGACAAACCTCACGCTCGGCGTCTGCAGCTCCCGCGCGGTCCGGAACGACTGCCGCGACTCGAGGTCCCGGCCGAGAGTCGACTCGTACTCCATCTCGAGGATCTCGTCGTTGAGGTCGCGGCTGAGATTGGAGGATCCTGAGTCCGAGTCGCCCGTGTGCAGCTTGATCTGGCGCCGGGTCAGCTGGAACGCGTCCGCGTCCTCCATGACCATCTTCTCCGCTTTCTTCTGGTGCTCGAAGGACAAGGAGGCGGTCAAGGGCTCGTTCGGCGGGGCAACTGGAGCGCGTGAGCCTTGGGGTTGGCGGTAGACGATGCAGGGGTGTCACTACTCACTGAGGGCACCGGAGTGCGCGGTCTCGAATGTGTTCCCGGTCCAGACGATGGAGGATTCGGTGCGGTTGCGGAGACAGTATAGCATGGTGCATGAGTAGATTCGAGCGAGCACAAAAGCGAAGCCAACCCAAACTGCGATGCATCAGACAGATTTGGTGAGATATTATGACGGCAAGTGCTGCAACCGCCGCTTACCCATGGTTTCCCGAACGTCCTTGTCCAAGGCCATGACTGTGCCGGTGATGGTCACGGCAGCGGCAAAGAGTCCAGTTTCAATCAACATCGAGAAGATTCTGCAGGTGAATCAGCGAAGGAGCTAGAAGTGCGACGTGAAAACACACTTGAAAGCTTTATTTCTCTGTTTCAGCGGCGAGAAGGACAGAGGCGCGACGAGGGCGGTGCCGATGGACAACGCGATGAGAGCCATGCTTGTATTGTTAAGTGGATTAACGATGAGAACGAAGAGACAACTGACTAGGCAAAAACGCGCTGCAGAAGATCACCGTTGTCGAGATTGTGTATCATCGAAAAACCATAGCCAAAGATTCCGATCAGCTAAGACACAGTCAGCGAGAAAGACTGGAGATGGGAGGTCAGATGGGCGCACAGTGAGGAGTAGGACGAGGAGTAGGGGAAGGAAAGACGCGATGCCCTTGGTCCTTGAGAATCATCAGCGGGTGGAAGCTTCAGAACTGCGACTGCACACACATTTGCCACTGACGCACGATCATGAACGACTGCGAGACGGCTGTGACGACTCCGATGCTGAGCACCAGCGGAATAAACGGCCAGTACTGCTTCCGGATCGACTGCACCTCGCCCTGCGATCGGTCTAGTCAGATTGGGCTCGAGCCTGGGAACCAGGACCGCCACTGACCCAATGCGTCGACGTGTAGAGGTAGGTGATGGCACAGCACGCGAGGGTCCCGAATATGTCGGCGATGAGGTTCACGACGATCCCGAGGCCGATGAACACGCTGTCGGTGCGCCGGGCAGCGCTCCGGAAGTAGGCAGAGACTTGGACCAGCTCGAGGGTGAAGAGAAAGATGTTGATCCAGCTGCCGACGGACAGCGGGCTGCGTGAAAAGCGGGAAAGTCAGCTTGGCAGAGATGGAACCTGGGGATGCGGTGGGATGACTGACGCTAGGGTGGTGGGGGTGAAGAATGCCGTCGCCGTCGCCGTCGCCGTACCGCCGTTGTTGCTGGAGTCTGGGAATGGATTCTGATCTGACATGTGGACTTGGTAGGGGGAGGAACAGGGAGGAAAAAATCAGAGTCGGGGGCGGGCCAGTATATATACTGAGCAGGGGCTTCTCAGACATTCGAAGAGTTGCGATCCAGCTTCCGCACCTTCGCGCTAGGAGAGCCTCAGCCGTGGACAAGAGCAGAGACACCTCCTTATTTGAATTGCCTGTCAGATAGGCCAGTGGAGACATCGGGCTGCTGTGGGCTCTGGGGGAGGACATGGTCTAGTCTCCGATTTCAGACAAAGTTCAGACTTTTTTTTGCAATCGAGAGCAGCGTAAAGGAGACCCCCAACAAGAGCAACAGTTCTCATCTGCGCAAGAAAACGACGAGAAATGCAGAGGGAAAAAATCGATCATGAACTTTGTCCGACATTGAGGCGAAAGGTCAAAGCGGCTTGCAGGTGGCGGTGTGTTCCTACACGTCAATTGTGATCGACGATCACTCGAACCACTGCCAATCACAACAGCACGTAACGCGTCCGTTCATGGTCCAACTCATAGTCGACTCCGGCGGCTACTCAGAGATGTGTGCTGTGATACTCGACGTCCAATTTCCACCCGTGTCTCACGACACTCCCATGCTTTCAGAGACCGCTCGTTCACTCGTCGCCTGCCTCTCCCCTCGATTTTCCACTTGTCCAGCTCGATTTGATGGCAGAACTGTGATTTGGACAAGATGTCAAGCGAGGGTCCGGACCTGGCGGGCAGATAGGCCCGCATTTCGGTGCACATGTCTTTTGTCTCGTACAGCGGCGCGGCGCGTGTATAAATCTAGCCCATTGGTCCCCGTCCCATAACACCTTCCTCTCTCTCGTTTTCTCTTTGTCGAAACGCGATGGCTTTCACCAAAGCTCTGGCCCTGCTCGCCGCGTTCGCGGTCGTGGCTGCCGCCAGGAACGAGAAAGTGCTGCACGAGAAGAGATCGGCTGTCCCATCGGGCTTCGTCTGCGAAGGGCCCGCCCCTGCTACACACGAACTGCAACTCCGATTCGGGCTGGCGCCGCAGAACGCCGCGGGTCTCCAGGCCAAGCTGCTGGAGCTCTCGACGCCAGGGAACGCAAACTACCACCAGTGGCTGTCGAAGGAGGAGGTCGGTTTCTCTCCGCCCGTCGTAAGGATGGGTGATTGAGCCCTTGCGTTGCTGCGATAGGTGAAAACGTTCATGGGGCCCTCGGAAGCCACTGTTCAGGCCTTCAACGCGTTCGCGGCGGCGCATGGACTGAACACGACCGGCGTGTCCCCCAACGGCGACTGGATCTCGGCCACCGTGCCCGTCGCGCAGGCCAACGATCTGTTCGACGCCGACTACCAGCTGTTCTCGCACGCGCAGCTCGAAAGCCAGATCGCGCGCACGATGTCGGTGTCCCTCCCGCGCGAGATCGTCGGCGTCGTGAACGTGATCCATCCGTCCACGACGTTCGACCAGCCCCCGTCCAAGCCCGCGTCGCCGCCGTTCATCCAGGCGAATGAGAAAGTGCACAAGAGCAAAGCGCATGTTCCGGCGTCGTGCGACACGAACGACCCACACGCCATCATGACGCCTGCGTGTCTGCAGCAGATATACGGGATCCCGACGAAACGGGCTCAAGCGGGGAATAACTCGCTGTTGGCGACGGGATACCTCTTCCAGTGGGCCCAGGAAGTTGACTTGAAGGTGTGTTGGTTTCTCTGTCTGATTTTTCGACTGCCGCTGATGGATGGGTGACGGGGCCAGTTGTTCCTGGAACAGCTCCGACCGGATATCCCGTCGACGACGACATTTAACCTGCAGAACATCAATGGGGGATCAAATCCGCAGGGCGCCGGCTGGGCGGGAGAGGAAGCCAACTTGGACATGCAGTACACCGTTGGTGAGTACCAGTCCGTGTCCCTCCGTCTCACATAGGCCTCATGTGAAGCAAGGACTTGCCACCGGGGTGCCTGTGACATTCCTCTCTGTCGGAGAATTTGACTTTTTGACTGCTCTGCTCGACACCACAACGTATCTCCAGGGCGTCAGCAATCCGCCAACAGTGATGACGACATCGTATGGCATGACCGAATCAGTCATTGACATTACTGTAGTCGAGTGGGTTCTCTATTTCACGCTGGACTACATCTGATGGTCTCTGCAGCGCTCTTTGCAATGCTTACATGTCCCTTGGTGCCCGGGGTATCTCGGTCTTATTTGCTTCTGGAGATGTGGGTCTCGTTCGTTCTGGAGAAGAGCCCGCAAAGTCAACTCACTATCGCAGGGTGGAGTGCATAATAACCACGACAGCCTGGACGACTGCGACATGCCCGATCTGGCTCCGGTCTTCCCCGCGACTTGTCCATTCATAACCTCCGTAGGGGGGACCATCGGGTTCCCCGAGACGGCCGTCAACTTCACGGGCGGAGGATTCTCCACGATGTTCCCGGCGCCAGCATACCAGCAAAAGCAGGTCGCCTCCTTCCTCAAGACCGTCCCGGCCAACTTCAGCGCGTCGTTCAATCGCACCGGCCGCGGGTACCCGGACGTCGCCCTCCAGGCCGTGAACTTCCAGATCGGCATCGAGGGGGCCTTGGCGCTGAGCGGCGGGACGAGCGCGTCGTCGCCCACATTCGCGAGCATGATTGCGCTCATCAATGACCGCCTGATCGCTGCGGGAAAGCCCGTGCTCGGGTTCCTGAATCCGTTCCTGTATGCCAACTCCGGTGCATTCAATGATATCACTGTCGGGCACAACTCGGGCTCCGTCTGCCCTGCCTCGTCGGTCGGTTTCGATGCCACGACTGGCTGGGACCCGTTGAGTGAGTGTTGGGTTGGGTTGCGGGTGTGAAAATGGCAACTGACGCGCTCGAAGGTGGGATGGGCACGCCCAATTTCAAGCGCCTGCTCGCTGCAGCATTGGCCGCTTGAACTGTGTCCTGCCGCGGAACGATCCGACTTTCTGATCAAACCTAGCCATGGTCGGAGGGCTACGCTACTCACTTCTAATTTCGATATGACTGCATCGGTTCGATGAATAATATTCAGAGACTGGCTTCTAGGGTAAATGAATGTGACTGTACAATGCGGTGAGATACAAATAATGTTACGTCCATGCTAAGGTCAAATTTTGTGCGGCAGTCTACCTCGCGCTGTTCAGTTTTATGCCAAAAAGCGACACGATCTCGTAGCAGAGCACAAGCAGCAGCTGTCCGATGAGGTCCATCAGAGCCGAGTGCACCGGAAGAGCATACATGTCGGGATCGAGTTTGCGTGCCCACAGAAAGTTAACCAGCCACCGTGCGATGAGTAGAGAGGATGCCACCTGTTGGATATTGGTGAAATGATGAGAGGAGTCTGGGAGGAATGTACTCACAGCAGTGCAGAAAAACACGATTGAAAACGCGACAAACATAACCGGCGGTCGTAGCCAATTTAGTCCGGCCAAGATGCCGAGAAAGATCATCTCCACAGGGATCGTGACAAGGAGCAGGACGAGCATCACAACCTTCGTCGAGGGTTCCCGTCTTGCAGGGCCGGGGGCCGCGGTTGCCGGAGGAGCAAGCGAGTACGCCGCTGCATGCAGACTGGTCGAGAGACGCGAGGCAAAGATCGAGCCGACAGCGCCGGGCAGGCCGCTGATGACCACCGCGAGCAACGCGAAACCTTCGTACCGGGTGACAAACATGTCTAGCACGATGCCGGTGCCGCTGCTGATGATCATCGCTCCGAAGAGGGGCGACCAGCCTTGGGTCAGCAGCGGGGCGACATGAGAGTTCCGGCGGACGTAGAATCCACACGAGATGGCGAACAGAGTGATGATGATGGCCACGACGAACGGAATGGGTGTGTGCATGACGTAGATCAATGTCGTCGCAACAGCACCGAGGAGCAGAAGGGTGACTAGGTCTCCGAGACAGGATGCAATGGGCGGCGCAATGTTATCTGGCCCGGGGATCAGTTCGGTGTGGGGATACGCAGGTTGGTCTGCGCACACACCTGGATCCAGTCCAAGATATCTGCACCCAACGACCAGTGAGCACATGAATGACCCCAAGATCATACTCGACAGCGATGCCGCCCCCATAGCACAGCACGCAACCATAACGAATCTGTGACGGCTGAGTCTCTGTCATCGGATGAGGTGAAAACGAACGAACGTCGGCAGACCAGACGTCCGGGTGCTCTGATTCCGGGTCTGGACAGAAACTTCCGCTCCGGCAGGAGGGATGATGATGCCCAGCACAAGTGACACACCCGCAGCGATGAACGAGACGACCGCCGCCTGGACCTGCAGAAGAGCGAGGTTGCCGACGATGATTTCGCGCCGGGCCTGCGGTTCATCCAGCTCTCCCACGTTGGCCGCCGTGCCGAGGCGCGCGGAGAGATTCATCTCGAGATTTCCCTTGAGGTTGAGGACGACTGGGATGATCATGATCAGTTGGTCGACCTCCAGCATGGCGTGCCAGTGCTAGCAGGCGGGTGAGCATCGTCAGGTGCACCGGCAGCGGTCGACGCGCACCGAGACATGGTCGAGCAGTTCTCCGGTGAATAACAGCCCCACAGTCGTGAAAAGTAGCGTAGAAGCGCCCTTGAGGGGATGTCAGCTAGGAAGGGATGCGCCACGATTCCACACACCTCGATGACTATTCCTCTGATTTGAGGCCACAACCGGTCATTTTGCACGTTCTCTTTTGTTTCTGAGGTAGTATGTCCTCGGAGAAGAGCCCGGCTCCCATCATCCACTACGAGGTCCTCTTCGTCCGAGTCGGATTCTCCATTTTGGGAAGGCTCGTATTCCGCTCTCTTCGACCCATCGAAGAACTCATCCTCGCCGTCTTCATGTTTGGCACCCAGCAGAGAAAGTTCGATATCATTCGCCATATTCAATAGCGACAGTAGAAGTCCGGTGTTGGGGGCATTCGCAGTTTCCAAGAACAACGGAGGGTGGAGGTATTGAACGTGGGAAAACACGGGCTGTCAATGATCATCACAGTTTCTTCCCTTCCACTCCTCAATCGCGTTCTGCCGCGGGAATGCGAACCTGTCAGTGCTGGATTCTGCTTTTCGCTGTCGCAGGCCTCGTATCTGCGTCGTCAGGCGATCGAGCGCCCGAATTCACGAACTGCGTGTCGCGTTGTAACGCATCCCGTTGTGCCTCGGGGCACTCGCACCCCCTTTCGCTTCCTCTGCGCCTGACGCGTTGGACATGCGACGACAACTGCAAGTACTCGTGTATGCAAGACATTGCGACGCGCGATATCCGTCTCGGCGACCGCGTGCACCAGTACTACGGCAAATGGCCGTTTTGGAGGCTGTTTGGGGTCCAGGAGCCGGCGTCCGTGCTATTCTCGCTGCTCAATCTCTGGGCCCACGCGCGCGGGCTCGCGAAGATCAGACGCCAAATCCCTGAGACGCATCCGATGAAGCCGTACTACCTTGCCTGGGCTGTGACGGGGATCAACGCCTGGGTCTGGTCTGCGGTGTTCCACACACGAGGTTGGGGGCTCTCGGCTTTGGCTCGGTTTCCGTGCTGATGCACTCCAGACAATTCCACGACGGAAAAGCTGGATTACTTCTCCGCGGCGCTGACGATCACGTACGCGTTGTATTACACCGTTGTGCGGCTGTTCCATCTGTATCCGACCCAGCGTCGAGGGAAGCTTACACTCTCGACGCCTGATACGGCCACTCCAAGAAGCCCAGCGTACAAATTTTGGTCGGCCCTCTGCCTCCTTGCATATGTGGGACACGTTTCGTACTTGACTCTCCTCCCCCGATTCGACTACACCTACAACATCGTCTTTAACACCGTCATCGGTCTCGCACATAACATCCTATGGCTCCTGTACGCGTTTCCCTCATCCCTGTCCACGGTGCGACGATTCTCGTCGCGACCGAAGACCTACCGACCGGACTTTGCGACACGAGTCGGAGTGCTGGTGCTGTGCACAACGGCGGCAACCACGCTGGAGCTATTTGACTTTGCGCCATTCCTGCGGATCATCGATGCGCATTCGCTGTGGCATCTGGCCACAGCCCCTATTGCCGTGTTTTGGTACGAGTTCTTGCTGCAAGATTCCCGGGATGAAAGTTGGAGAGATCGAGTGTAGCAGCTTTGTCATCTCGCAGAATGTCGACCTGGACCACACTAGATAAATGTGCTTGTAAGTATGTACGCCGAATGCGGTGGTTATTGTGAACCAAATCGTCCATCAATTGAGCTGGAGCGCCTCTAACACGTGATTACCCCTCCTTGTCTCCTCCATGATCGGTACTAGTCGCGCAGAGTACTGCTTCATAGTTGTCTGCATCGCTGCGCTCCGCCTCGTCGCACCACTCAGTATCTGTTTCCTCGCCGCCTGCCTCGCGACAGGCCATGTTCTCGTCTCTCCGGCGCTGCTCTTCATCGCATCATGCGAGAGCGTGTTCTACGCGATCTTCCTCGCCCGACGGAGACAGTTGACCAAGGTTTCCGCTATTCAGCACCACTTTGGGGGCAAGATTGACTTGAACCCCAGCCATCGCCCCCGCGCGTTCCCCCGCGGAGCCACGCGCAGCGCCAAGTGCTGTTCGCGAAATGCGCCGCCACAATGACGGCGGAGCGGTTTGTGGAGTGGTTCGTTCCCTCGCATGGCGACATCCGGCGGGAAAATGTCCGGGAGTGGCTGTTGTGGGCGCTGTTCTCCTCGACCCTGGAACATGCGTCGCCCGAGTGGGACGGGGAGATCGAGGAGTATCTGGATCTGATTGAACAGGTGCTGGGTAGGAAGCTTGCTGAAGGGAGAGGGCCTGTGAAGAGCATACGACTCTCGTTTGACGAGGTTGAGTTTGCTCATCGACCGTTGGTGTGGTATATGGCGAGTACGAGTCTGAAGATTCAGCACCTTGGATCTAATGCTGGTGCTTAGATCGTGGCGCTCGTGGATACCAGTACATCACTCATCCTTCTCAGTCTGGGATTCAAGCACTATGCCCCTTCTCGCCCCCAACACTTCGTCTTCCCCCCTCGGATCTTGTTATGGATGTTCTCTAGGCCTGGGGTCACACCTCACTATTCATATTGGTTCCGCCCCAGGCGACTCAGTCACAAGCGCGAATCTTTCGTTTTTTTGCATGGAATCGGTGTATGTACGTCCTCTTATGGCATGGCGCACGCTGAACAGTATGATAGATCGGGCTGCACCCATACCTTCCAATGCTACGAGAGATCGTCAAATCGGACCCGTCCCGAGACATCCTCCTTGTAGAATTTCTGCCTGTCAGCATGCGCATTACTGGTCCTATGGCGTCTCGTCAATGTACCGTAGAAGCGATGAACGACATCCTTGATAGCCTCGAACTGAGGCAGGTCGTTCTCGCTGCCCATTCGTACGGGACGTTTCTCGCTGCGTACATCGTGGCCGAGCCAGCCGAAGATGGCCCTGTCGATGATCCATGCAAGGACCTCAATGACAAAGTGGTTTCGCTCGTCCTGATCGATCCGATCCCGATTCTCTTGCACCTTCCAACAGTCACCTACAACTTCCTCTACCGCTCTCCTCGGCGGGCAAACGAATGGCAGCTGTGGTACTTCGCCAGCAGCGATGCCGACGTGACAAGAATGCTGAGGCGGGGATTCTTCTGGGAGGAGGGTTGTCTATGGCGCGAGGATCTGGAGCGATTCATCGGCGAGGGCAGCTCTCGCCGCCAAGTTTCCGTTGTGATAGGTGGTGCGGACCAGATCATACCCAGCGCTGCTATCAGAGAGTATCTATCCGACGGTTCAGATGATTGGGTCTCCAACGCTGGTCCCTCGGAACGATGGGCAAACAGCGATGAGACTCTGCAAGTGATCTGGTTCCCCAATCTCGACCACGCGACCGTTTTCGAGACAAAGGAACGGCGAAAAGTCCTGATGCGAGTCTTAGATCCAAAACCTCGTTATTACGGTACTGTCACTAGCTAGATATACACGGTAGGATTATCATATATTATTGTACCTTACATTCTCCGACATCCTGATCCTCTAGAGCCCCAGCATGGCAATGACAATCGCGCCAGCTCCAAGCCCATTCTCTGCTCCTTCACAGATAAATCCGAAGCGCCCGCTGCCGACTTGAGCTATGGCCGCAGCCGCTCGTTGACCGGAGCTTTGTTCGACGTAAAGCGCTTCATGGGCCGCGACGCCTGTCAACCACATGCCGCCGGTCAACGAGAGGCTTTTTGGCAAACCAGATGCCAACTCGTGGTTTCCATTCAGAACTAATTTCTGGTTCTCGGTACCAGCCATAGCGGAGAGCTTCCATGGCAGTCCCCAGGCTTCGTCGAAGAACTTGTTCAGCGACGGACGACGAATATCCTCCATCGAGTTCTTGGAAAACATCTTGAATGAACCGCCAATGACGACCGTTCCCCCGTTCTCCACATACGACACCAGTCGCACCAGCAAGCCACTGTTGTTCGGAGTGACGATTGGGGCATCCGTAATGAAGACACCTTTGATGCTGGGCAGAACGAGGAAGTCTCTGGCCTTAGCTTTGGTGCTGGCTCGTGCGACCTCGACTTTCTTCCTCAAAGCCTCCATGGTTTTGATGGGCAGTTGCGTGGATTTGTTGAGGGTGAGGTGCATGACAAATGGCTTCGAGGATCGAGAGAGCTGCTCGACTTTTCCAGTGCGGCTCTTCTCCTGACCCAGAGCAGTTGGTCCCACTCCCATGAAGTTGGAGAACAGCCGTTGCTCAGCGATGACCTGTTCATTGGCAGAGATCAGCCGGCGGACAAGGCCTGGTGGGAAGTCCTCCTGATCCTTTAAATGAGGCAAGTTCGCCTTTGAGTGAAGATAGAGACATCCCTCCCCGAATTTGCAGGATCCCATGAGAAAATACAGACAGACGTTGCGGCCCCTGTAAAATCAGCGCTCTGGAGGAATTCAAACTGGATCCACGCACTCAGAATCGGCGATGCTCCTTTCATCTGGCGCATGAGAGTAAGGGCATCCGGCACCCTTTGCACAACCGAGAAGCTTGAGATTATGGTGCTTGCATGGAATCCCGTTCCCGACATGCGCAAGCCTTTCTGCCTCCTCGTCATCTCGTTCTGCTTTCAACGCACGAAGCTCCTTGGCGAGATCTGGCGAAATGATAGGACAGGGCTCATCACTAGGCAAGGGGACCTCGGCATCTTCCCAGATATTAGTCAAGTCGGGGACACCCGAGTCTCGCATGTCGATCAAGATGTCGATCTCCAAGGCAGCTTCAAAACACGAGGGTTGGAGTTCGAGCACGGTGTCTAAGTCTGGAGGTTTCATTGAGCGAAGTCTTTTGTCAGAGGTTTTTAACACACCAATCTTCGCCGCCAAAAGTTTGCTCGCGCCTTTGCGTGCCATGGCACGACGAAAGCGAGCCTTGACCATTTTCGGGTCGGAAAGGAGAGCGGTCGACGCAGCACGTTCAGCCATATCAAAGCTTTTGTTTGTCAATGAGATATATTCCCTGACTGCTACACGAGCCTTGCCACTCACTCTTCGAGCTTGAGGTAGGTCGCAGCAAGGTTAGACATGTAGAGAGTTTGAGTTCCGTTCACTTCTATGGCTTCGTTGTACATCTTGGCAGCCTCCGCGTACTTTCCCTGTCTGAAAAGATCATTTCCCTGGGGAAACTGATCAGCCACATCACACCGTTTGTAGGACGGATGCAACATACCAGGTTCTTCAACCGTTCGCCCTCTTCGGCTTGTGCCTCAGCATTGTGCGCCACCGTACGATCCATATGCAATGCAATTCGTTCTTAAATCCGGAGTGAGAGTGTTGAAAGCGCGAACAGAAACAAGAATTGAGGATTTGGTGAACAAAGGACTTGCGAAATTTGCATTGTTTGAACAACACGTGATAACGTGACAGACCGCGTCAATGTCATTGTCACGTTCGCGCCTGACGAAAGCCAAGTCTGACCTCACGCGCTCATTAGCCCTCTCTACTGTAATGGGCGGCAAAGTAAGGTGTGCCGTCTGTCTTGACGACTTCACGATTTCAGAGTTTCGCTTTCTGACGTGTGGTACGTCTCCTCAACCCCCCGCTCGGTCCCGGTAACGGCCTGACACGGTCACAGGGCACGGCCTTTGCGTCTCCTGCGCTGAACATCCTGCCACGAAAACCACCTGTGCTGTCTGCCGTGAAACGAAGGGAGATGGGCAGCGATTCAAGGTCTTCTTCACCATGGCAGAGACGACAAACGAGGCACAGTCGGTGACGCAGAGTCTCGACATGATTGGACCGCAATCGATGGCTATGACCATTCAGAAGGGCGGAAAGAAGATTGAAAGGGTGGTTGCGTCAATTCCGGAAGATCAAATCGACGAGGGATATGTTGTAAGCCTCTCGTTGGGCGCATCTAGCACTGTATCTGACACTCCCTAGCAAGAACTGCTCACCGCCGCAAGGAACCTGGATGAGCGACTGGCACCTTTGGCCTCGGAGCTGGAACTGATGAAGAACCGGTGCATAGAACAAGCAGAGGAAATGGCGGAGCTCAGACGTCGCTTGCAAGAGGAGGAAACCAAAGCTGCTGAGGTACCACTCCTTCGGCAATCGGTCGCCGCTGCAAGAAGCGACTGGCAGGTTGCGGTACAAAAAAGGACGCAAGCTACTGCGGCTCTATCGAGGGAACGAGCTGAGAATGCTCGTCTGCAGCAGGCGGTTCAGACGCAGGTGGCTGGAGTGAGAGCTAAGGAGGAGGAAGTCGAGAAGCTGCAGGGCAAGCTTACAAGGCGGGACAAAAGGGTGCGGGTGTCTTGATTCTTCTCGATGGCATGACTCAACTGCTCCTGCAGCTGGCGTTACTGGAAAAGAAGCTCAAGGTCTTGACACGCACTATGAAGTACCCTCGAACTGCCCCTGCCGAGGACCCGGACGACTCTCTTCAGATAGAGAATTCGGTAGAGGTGTGTTTCTATTGCGGCGATGCTTCTTGGTATACATAATTCTGTCTAGATTGTCCGCAAGCCCAATGATTGGATCGACAAGCGACTAGGAGGCGGCGTCCGCAAGACAGTTCCCCTTCCAAACCATCGGCCCACTTGACTGTCCACTACACTTCGCACTTCGCATTCTACCACGTGTTTCTCTACTAGCCCTAGCATTTCCTGAGATGAATTACCATATCCAGCCCGTAGGACGAGTTTGTTGTTGTTGACACTTTCCGCGATGTAGTCACCTCCTTCATGCCGCCCGATGTTAACCAACCCGAGGAGCCCAAACCTCGTTCAAAATGGCTCCCAATCACATTGGTAGGACCTTACGGAGCTTTTCCTTGCGTCAGTTGTCTTATATCCGCAGTTTGGAGTAGGCACCATCCTCGTCGTAGCCCCAGCAGCACTGGTCTGGCGCATGAGGCGACACACGCGACTTCCTCTCAATTCCCTTGATGCACCTCCGCGTCGCACGGCCTTTGGGTCCAGTCCGACAGCACCCACCCACTCCAGCCTAAAAACCGACGCACCCGCTCGTTTTGCGTTCGCCATCCCCGACGTCCCGCTTGCATCAACCAACGCTGATCTTCCTTCCACATCGTACGCGTCCCCGAAGGACTGGGACGACGACGATAACTGGGGTGTCCCCCCAACAAAACTGGATCCCAACGACAAATTCAACCCTGCGCTCCATACCGTACGCGCATTCGGCATCGCGACGGCCATTGTCGGAACACTGGCCTTTGGAGGGATTTGGGCCTTGAGGGAGTATCTGGGTGTGGATAACGTGCGCTTCCCCATTGCCGCTCTGGCTTGATTCGCTCAAAATGGCCTGGTTACCTGCAGATGGATGATCTGAGCGCCGAATTCCGGCTGGGCGTCATGAACAGGATGCCCAACCTGGCTGAAAAGATGCGCAACGCTCTTCAGTTTGGTTCCTCGAGCGAAGAACCAGATCCAGCGGCCGGTGGTGATGAGAGGTCCCCGTGGACCTGGGATGAAGCGCAGGATCGGTTGGCAGCGGCTTACGACAAGGGCGGGATAGAGGCCTGGGCCAACGTCGCGGCGCAAGAGGTCGCAAATGAGGCGAAATTAGAGATGAAGCGTCGGGAAGAACTGCAGAAACGATGATGCTTCTATCAGTTTTGTGTATCAAAAGCACCACCACTCCAATGCTCTGTTACAGTTGAGAAGGCTTCTGTACGATATATTGGCCAAGTGGGTCTCGCATTGCTCCTTTGAGTTGTGCGCGAACAGCCATTTTACACCTCACACGCGACTGAGTGCACCATTTGACACGGATCGTGAAATCTCACGGAGACAACCGGACCGGCGGCTGTCTCTGTTGCGTCACCACGTCCGTCGCATCAGACTGAACAACTCACGAGTAACTTGCACCATTTTGAATCATCCCGGGAAGAAGCAAGATTTCGGGCTGTTCTCGTGCTCTCGAGATCTGCTAGCCGTCGCGTCCTGAAGGTGACATGTGCGTATCTCTGATACTCGCACCATGAGAACATGGTGATCTTATTACACCCAGTCCCCGCCGACGACTTCTTGCGCATATGCCCCATCTCTTCGAGCGGCGTCCAATCCCCGTGTCGGCCAAGTACTGGCCTACGAGACCCTCATCTGATTCCGACTCGCGCGGGCACAGACGGACGGATCTGTCGAGGCATTCTCGCCAAAACTCTAGATTGGACGGGACTCGCGCGGGGACGGAGTCGGAACTATTTCGCGACTTGAGATAGGAGCGTTGGAAAGATAACAGCATGCCTCGACATTAGATGCACGATATGCTCTCATCATCGTCCTTCTCGCCGCATGCCCTTCTGCCAAGACGGCGCGCCGTCGCAAAGAAAGAACGCGACATAAAAGCAGACCACGGCAATCGCTTTCGACAGCTCACTTTGGGCCCTCTCCGAAGACAAGATGGCATTCAGCAAATCTCTGACCGTTCTTGCCGCGGTGGCGGTCGCAGCTGCGAAGGGCCTAACGGTGCTGCACACGCGGACATCAGTCCCCTCGGGCTTCGTTAACCATGGGCCCGCGCCCGTCAACGATCAACTGACCCTGCGCTTCGGTCTCGCGCACACTGATGCTGCTGGGCTGCAGACCAAGCTGCAGGAGGTCTCGACGCCTGGGAACGCGAACTTCCGCCAGTGGTTGTCGATGGAAGAGGTTCGCATCGGTCGCTTTCGTAGTATGCAATTGAGATGTTGACTATGCTGCAGATCAAGACTTACATGGAGCCTTCGGCTGAGACCGTGGCGGCTTTCCAGGCTTTTGTCTCCGCCAACGGATTGAACACAAGCAGCATCTCTCCTAACGGCGACTGGTTCTCGATCACTCTTCCCGTCTCGCGCGCCAATGAATTGTTCGATGCCAACTTCGAGCTTTTCTCCCATGCAAAGCTGGACACTCAGATCGCGCGCACAATGTCTGTCTCCCTGCCTGCCGAGATTGTGGGCATCGTGGATGTGATCCACCCGTCCACCTCATTTGCCGAGCCCCGCATCCGACTTGCTCCGTCGCCGATCGAACTGAGCGGTGTGCCAGCGGATAAGCGGGCCGTTGCCAGCTCATGCGACACGACTGTCCCGAGCGGCATCATCACTCCCACCTGTCTGCAAGAGATTTACGGCATCCCCGCAACTCGCGCCACCTCGAAGAACAACTCGCTGTTGGTCACCGGATACTCTTTCGAGTATGCCCGCAAGGCAGATCTGAAGGTGCGGTTCCGGCCATTTGACATAATGATCTTGCACTCAGGATGTGACCCAGGCGTTTTTGAAAACCAACCGTCCTGACATCTCATCCTCGACGACATTCGCTGTCCAGAACACCGCTGGGGGTACCAATCCGCAGGGTGTCAACGATGCCGGTGGCGAAGCCGACTTGGATATCGAGTATACTGTCGGTAAGTGCGGTGCTTCTGATTGACGCGACAAGATTTCGATTCCTTACCAGGCGTGGCGACCGGGGTGCCGACTACCTTCCTTTCCGTGGGAGAACTCGACTTTTACACGGCGTTGCTCGACACGACAACGTATGTCGACGGCCTTAGCAGCCCACCGACAGTCATGACTACCTCTTATGGTCTGGATGAAACTGGCACCGATCCCTCTGTGGCAAAGTGAGCAGTTGAGTCTCTGAAACAGGCTGTTTCTGATATGTATGGACACCTGCAGCTCGATCTGCAATGCTTTCATGGCACTCGGCGCTCGTGGCATCTCTGTTGTGTTTGCTTCCGGCGATGTGAGTCTCAGTGTCGGTGACAACAAATCACAAGTAACGGGCTTCTCAGGGCGGCGTCCGCGGCGGCCATGACGATTCCACCGTCTGCAAACAAAACACGTTTATCCCCGTTTTCCCCGCTGCCTGCCCGTACTTGACCTCAGTCGGAGCCACTCAAGGTTTCCCCGAGAAGGCCATCAACTTCACGAGCGGCGGGTTCTCGGACATCTTCCCTGCGCCGTCATACCAGACTGCGCAGATCGCGTCCTTCATCAAGACGATTCCGTCCAATTTCAAGGGCAAGTTCAACCGCACGGGCCGCGGGTTCCCGGACGTCGCAGTCCAGGGCTGGAACTTCGAAGTCGTCATCGGCGACGTGCCCCAGCTGACCGGTGGAACGAGCGCAGCCGCGCCGACGTTCGCGTCCATCATCGCGCTCATCAACGACAAGCTCCTCGCAGCAGGCAAGCCCGTGCTCGGCTTCCTGAACCCGTTCCTGTATGCCAATCCCGGCGCGTTCAACGATATCACGAAGGGGCACAACTCGGGCTTTGTGTGTCCTGCTTCTTCGGTCGCTTTCGACGCTGCAGCTGGCTGGGATCCGCTCAGTGAGTCTAGCTTTGGTTGAATCTTGATGTTACTCAACGCGACCGCAGCTGGGCTGGGAACGCCCAACTTCACGCGTCTTCTCGCCGCGGCGATGGCTTGAGAGGAATATGAATGATACGACAGCCCTGGAGTAGAGTCCATATGGAATTGAAAGGGCCTGTTACGTCCCAAATACATCATGTACAAGTCCAATAGGACTATGCTGCAAAGATCAACCGGTCTTCATCGCTTAGTGCCTTGCCAGTAGTCCGGCCCGATCAGAAATCGGACTACAGAATCTCTCCAGGCTTACCGCAAAAGCATCCGTCATCAGATTCTGACGCGTAGATTGCGCACGGTAATTCTGGGCCAATTGGAGCGGATATTCGGGCTCTAGAACAGCAGAACCCAGGGGGGAAATCACTATCCCCGTACAACCACGCAGATCACCACATGAACTGAAACTGGTCGTGTCTCGACTCTCATGCTCCCCTGCCACCTGACATTCTATTATATGACATCTCTGTCTCCGGATATGACCGAAGACCGCAAGTGTCCGTTGCCCAAGCCAACTTCTCGTCCCCAAAGCCTACAATATTGTGGCCGTACGTCGCAAGGGCGCTTCGGGCAACTATCATAGTATGGCTCCGCACCTAATCCGAGCTGACCAGGGAACGCACCAAGTACATCTGCGCAGGTACTACCGAAGCTCAGGTTCTCATTTTAGTCGGATACTGAGTTGAATGAACGTGGACTAGTGATTGTAAACTAAATCAAAGTCTTTGAACCATGTATTCTGATCCTCTGGAGTCTGCCACTCTTTGCCGTGCCCGCCAAAGAACGTGCTGTATCAAAAACGAGAGATTAAGGAACCTTCCAGTGCCGCAGAAAGGAGCGAGCCACAGACCTGAAGAATATCCCGATGAATCCGGCAGGACCAGCGACAGCGGCTTCCTCGATCAGAGGCAAGCTCGTAGGATATGCCTGGACCGTCACGAACGTCGTGCTCGTCGCAGTCTCTCGCGGCACGAAAGTCGTTTCGCCCGGCCCGAGAAGCATCATCCACGCTTCCGCCGGCGGTGGCGCTGCAGCATCAGACTCCTGCCGGCCCAGTAGACCGCCGACAATAGGTCCCAACGGAGGCAACAGCCCGCCGAGCGGATCTGCTGGCGTGGGCGAAGCAGACGGTGGCGGCGAGGGTTTCGGTTTCGACCCGCCAGGGACATCGCGGTAAAACACGTCGTTGCGCTGGATGACGACCTTTCCGTTCACGCTGAGCAAAAACACGCCGTCCTGCCTCCCGGGATTGTTCAGCTGCACTGTCTGTTGCACTGTAGTCCACGAGCCCGGCGCCCAGTGGAATGACCCCCGCCCGATCGAAAAGCCGTACGCCGCGTTGCAGTCAGATTGCGGGTCGTTGCACATGGCTGCGGTCTGCTTGTCTTTCGGAGCATACTACAGCTGTTCAAAGAGCGCTCGGCAGGAACGAAACGCACGACGCACTAGATACAGTTCCCCAGCGCCATGATCTCTCCACATCAATCGCGTGCTGAAGCAATCCGTCGCAGCGTCGCCTCCCGAACACGACCTCCGCCCGCCATACAAGCCAGGCAGCTTCCCGCCCAGCACCCAGTCAAAGTCACGCGGAAAGAACACACTATACTCCATCGACACAGATTCAGCATCAGCGATATCCAGCGGCTGCGCGTAGAACTCAGCACCCCCCACCGGACTTGCTTTTGGATTTGCGGAACCAGCTGGGTAGGCGAGTTGCATGACGGTGCTCCGGTTGCTCCACGGCTTGTAGTACGACGGAGCGGTGGTCGGTTGGAGGATGGAGTCGAGGAGATCCGCGGTCGCGCTTGCCTCGCTTGGGATGCCTTGCACCAGATGTAGATTATGCTGACCATTCGGGAAGACGGAGATGTTGAATGGCGACAGGTCATGCATCTGAGTCGGAGCCGCCCAGGCAGATACGGCGCTCGATGGAGAAGCAGTGGTGGATGTCGATGTTGGCGAGGAAGGGGTAGTTGAGACGATGACGGTCACGACGGTCGGCAGTGTGAGAGTATCCGTTGTCACCTCGGTTTCCGTTACAGTTACAGGGCTTTGCGGTGCTTCAGTGCTTGGAGTCTGGACTTCTGAGGAGGGCGGCGGAGTTGGCTCAGGATCTGGAGGGGTGGACGGCGTGCTTGACGGTGCATCTACGGTAGTTGGCGTGGAGTCTAGATCGGCTGTTATACCCGCGATGATTTGACCGGGAGCAAGTAGTAGGGAATTGACATCGTCGAGAGCGGCGGGAGGCGAGGAATCTTGTCTCGCCGAGAACTTGAAGTCAGGCGAGGTAGCGACAGCATCGGGGGTGTTCTCATTGGGCGGACGAACTGAGCACGCGAGCGGGACCAGGAAACCGAGGAAGAAAGCAAGAAGGAAGACAACGAGCATAGCATGGGTTCTTGAACGAATGTGGACAATAGTTGGGAATGGTAGGAGCGAGAAAGAGAGGTGGTGATTCGGTGATGCGATGATCGAAAAGTGTAGGAAGGGTCGCGCCAGGGAATGTACAAGATATCTCATTCAATGACTAGCAATACAGATAGAACGAATATGCGGGACACACTGCTGCGCGAAATCACTCCTGGTCTAATAACCCTGCCCTGGACTCTGCTGACAACGACGGATCCGTGAAACTATGATTGCACTGCGCGCACACGAAGAACAATATCATCCGCGTTTCCTTTCGCTTCGACTGATCTTGATAATACACGGCACTGACGGGGAGTGAGTTTCTGCACGGGCCGCTCGACTGAGCAAAGGTCCGCACTCTTCATGACCACATGCCGGACAAGGGATCGTCGAGTGTGCCTGCGTACATGGTTCGGCAAAGAAAATGGAGAGATGCAGAACACAGTACTGACAAGGGTAGGATCCGTCCCCAAATCATTCGTCACTCCGACCTGCTCTCTAGCCAACACTGTCAACTCACAGTCTGGCCCGAGTGCACCACGAACTCACTTGGTCACCGTCAGCAAGTCGTTCCGGTATACACACTTGTTCTCTCCCATCTCCTCGTAGGCGCAAATCCGACAGGCGTAGACCATGATTCTTCGCTGGGGATCGGCCTTGGGATAGAGCAGATTGTTGCATTCCGAACAGAAGTGGAGGGAGGACTAAATGGCGCTGTGGATATGCAGCGCGCGACGCTTAAATTTCACATACCATCTACTCCGTGCACTGTCTGAGAAAGTGTGGGGATGGTGAGCGGTAAGAGGACAGTGAAGCGGGTGCTAAAATAGAATCCGCGCAAGAGCGCCGGGTGCTCGCTTCGAAGACTACATAGTCATATTTTCGCACTAAACTCAGATCTATTGGGGATATCTATGTGCAAAAACAATTGTGTGGAACTCCAAATCCGTACTGATCCCAATAAACCACGTGAGAGGTTGGTGGGAAGGCAGCAGCCTCGGGTTCCAGCGACAGACAGAGTGCTCAGTGCAACACCTCTCAAAGTCTAGGATTGTAGGCATACAACACTCAGCATCTTACCGTGCAACTCCCAAGGAAAACGGAGCAGAACTTGCTGAGTGCAGGCTGATGCTCAGTGTGCAGTTTGACCAGGCTCAATTCTTCATTATTTTAGATGGGACTTGAGATTCTGTAGGATACATAGTATTCAAACTCGTATGCCAAGTTTCAGAGAGAAATATGGACAATTGAACGAGTTTGAGACGGTTCGACTTGGATTCCATTTTCTGATGCGTACGGAGAATTTGTTCTTGTTTTGTGCCAGCTGCAGCCCTTAGTTGATGATGCTCACTTCGCTCGCAATCAAAATGACTGAAACCCTAACCCTATTGCGCACAAGTTCTCACTGCTCGAATTCGACAGGCTTGACAAAATTTGGCTCTCAGATGACTAGAAGTGAGTAATTCAGGCAGATTCTGAACAATCAAAGTTTTATTGGAATCAATCTCGCGGCTGTTGCTCAGATCCATCATGCCATCGTAACTCAATGCTGCACGACAGTCGCTTAAGCCATGGCCGCAGCAAGGAGACTGGTAAAGTTGGGGGTCCCCAGTCCCGCTGGCAGAAGCAAATCGGATACGTCAGCAGCCATACACGAGGAAAACTGAGAATGCGACTCACTCAGAGGATCCCAGCCGGTCGTAGCATCAAAACCGACGCCGGATTCAGGGCACACGAATCCAGAATTGTGACCCACAGTGATATCGTTGAACGCGCCCAGATTGGCGTACAGGAACGGGTTCAGGAAGCCGAGCACGGGCTTGCCTGCAGCCACGAGCCGGTCGTTGATCAATGCGATGACGGCGGCGAACGTAGGTGACGAGGCGCTCGTGCCGCCCGTCAAGGTGGTGGTGCCGTTGTTGACGACCTGGAAGTTCCAGCCCTGGGTCGACACATCGGAGAACCCACGTCCGGTGAGGTTGAACGTGGCGTTGAAGTCGGACGGGACCGTCTTGAGGAAAGAGGCGATCTGGGCGGTCTGGTACGCCGGCGCCGGGAAGATGTTGGAGAAACCGCCGCTCGTGAAGTTGATTGCTTTCTCTGGGAAGCCTTGAGTCGAGCCGACGGACGTCAGGAACGGACAGCCCGAGGGGAATGTCGGGGTCAATGTCGCATCGTTGCAGACACTCGAATCATCGTGACCACCGCGCACACCGCCCTGGAAAAGTTGAGTCTGTGGTGGATAACACGATCAGAAGACTCACGTCGCCGGAAGCAAAAAGAACGGATATTCCCCGCGCCCCCAGCGCCATGTAGGCGTCGCAGATGGAGCTGCAAGATCGCTCTATGAGACTGAATCATGATAGGTATGCATAAGCGACGCACTTGGCAACAGAAGGGTCAGCGTTTACTTCGTCGAGGCCGTACGATGTGGTGATGACCGAGGGAGGACTGCTGACATTGTGCAAGTAAGTCGCCGTGTCGAGGAATGCACCGAAGATGTCAAAGTTGCCGTTGGAGAGAAAAATCGTGGGGACTCCAGTGGCCACACCTGGATGGGTGTGAGAAACTGAAGTCACAGATTGTAATGAGAAAACGGATGACGAACCAATAGTGTATTGGATGTCCAAAGTCAGCCTCCGGACCATCCAAATCAGGACCTTGCTCATTATCTCCATCATTGAGGGTTTGTAGACTGAACGTCGTCGACGACGGCATGTCCGGACGTAGTTGTTCCAGGAACGCCTGGAGCAATGTGTCAGTCGAGGAAACTGCTGGCTAAGATTTCTCCACTGACCTGCAAGTCAGCCGTCTGCGCGTACTGAAAGCCATACCCCGTGACCAGCAACGAGTTATTCACGTGAGTGGCCGGTGTGGCCGGGATGGCGACAGCTCTTGCAGGCAAGTGGGGGTGGTGATCCCATTCGGGTCCGTCGTGTTGCAAGATGCCGCGAACTCCCGCTTTAGGTTAGGAACCGAGATCTGGATCAGCGGCGGGGCGATTTTGGACGGGGGCGGCGCGAAGGCCGTCGAGGGATGAATGACATTCACGACGCCCACCATCTCGCTGAGAGGGAGACAGACATCGTGCGCGCGATCTTGCCGCTGAGATCAGGGTGCGAAAACAACTCAAAGTTGGCGTCGAACAGCTAGTTGGCCTTGGACACGGGGACGGTGAGGGTGATCCACTCTCCATAGGGCGAAATCTTGGTCATGTTTAGCCCATGGGCGGACGCGAAGGTGTCGAAAGCCGTCAAGGTCGCAGACAAAGGCGCCATGTAAGACTTGACCTGCATGCACCGATCAAAACAGCATGCATTGCCAAAATACACGGAACGAACCTCCTCATTAGAAAGCCACTGTCGGAAGTTTGCGCTTCCAGGTGTCGAGACGTCCACCAGCTTGGCCTGCAGTCCCCTGACGTCGTTTCCCGCAAGACCAAAGCGAAGTTCCAACTCGTGCGTCGCTGGAGCCGGACCGCGGCTGACGAAACCAGCAGGGACAGTGGTGCGACTGTCGTGCAGCACCATGGCACTCTTAGCCGCCGCGACGGCAACCACAGCAAGCACAGCCAGAGCTTTGCTGAAAGCCATTGAGAAGTTGAGAGAGTCCTCGGAAGAGCTGGCAACCGGAAACTTCGGTGTTGCATTTATACGCAATCCGCTGCAAAGATTGAGGTTTCGGCTGGAGCGAAGGCATGTGACGCACTGAGATAGTGAAGACGATCCCTATGTCCCATCGCTGTTCCAGCGGGGATCTACGCCCGTCTGAGACAGAACAAAGTGTCTCCCCCAGAACCTCGGTCGATATCTCCACAGAAATCATCTTTCGAACTGATGATCCTTGCTTCTTTCATCAGATGCACCTCAGGATTTACTTCGGCCGTAGCCCGTAGGATGCCGTGACAAGTGTCTTTCTACGAAACCGAGATTGCATGAAGCCATGATAGGACTGACAAAACCACCTGAAAGCATGTACTGCCCTGAACATTCGGAAAGAAGTATCGTGTATCAAAGGGCACGGACTGAGGAAAGAAGAGCGGAGTGCAGATCACAGCTTGAGCTTCTCTGCAACGACGACATCTCCTTTCAGGCACCCCAGGGACCTCCAATTATTACGTAAAATGGCTTCGAGGCCCCCTCCGGAGGCCATCAAACCACCCCCTACCCCCCCTGATCGGAGGCCATCCTGGAGGCGCCTTCCTAATTGGTACTCTGCCCAGCCATTCATCCACAGCCAGCATGGTAGGCTAGGCATTGACCCGAGTGTTTATATATGCTGTAGTAGTCAGTATAAAGCCTCAGACAATGTCTTAGCTCACAAAAGCTTGTATTTCTTGCTTGCAAATGGTAGACCACTGGGCGCACAAAATTCGGGATTTGAGCACATGAGCACTCCTCAGGTGCATAGAGCGGCAGTATATATGTTAATTCGAGATTGAGCATGAGGTAGCTGTGCCCACACGCAAAAATGAGATGTTGCTGAAGGGGTGGTTTATGGCCTCCACAACCTCCCAGGGGCAGAAAAAAAGGTGTTGGGTAGCCCACAGGCCCTTGAATTCTGCTACAATAGATCAATTTGATGCTTATGCTTTGTCGAAACAACAGCCCAGCATGTAAATTGGATGCTGGAGCAGTGGCAGAACAAGCCTCCACCGCCTCCAGGGCTGGGGACCAAAAGCGGTTATTGTAGATTCAGCCACATAAACCATATTTCTGATGTTGTTTGTCCTAGTCAGAATTTCTGGGTATTCCAGAGAGACAGGTGGCTACATAGATCAGATGCTAGCACTAATAGCAGAACCGGCCTCCATGGCCTCCACAGCCAGTGACCAAAAGTGGTTTTTTGGGTTCAGCCACATAAACCATGTCCATGATGTTGAAGGTCTTCATTATAATTATGAGGGTCCTTTAGTTAAATGTCTCACTACATGAATCAGATGCTGGAGCAAATGGCAGAACTGGCCTCCGCTGCCTCCACAGGTTATCACTTGAAGAGTCTGAATGAGATGACAATGTAAGAGATATATATTCTCCTGGCTGACCGCATTCTGTCATTTCCACCTCTACATGCTAGTTTAATTGCTGCAGAATGTTAAAATTAGAGGATGGGAGACCCTGGAGGCACTGGAGGCACATGCAAGATCCAATCAATGTCATCAATATCATCAGTGCCATCAATAGCATCAAGAGCATCACCGATCATTGGTAGATTGATCAGCCAATCAGATGATGAATAAACATCGAACATCTAGTATGTTCATTCCTGAGAGACACAGACTACATGTATGCTCATACTGAAAGTGGATTAGTGGTCCCAGGACATGCCCCAATGACATATTGCATGCTTGTCTCAGGGACATATGATTAAAAATCGGAGTTGGCAAATGAGCTGAAAGTCAACTGAAGATGAGTGGTACAGTGGAGTACTTTCAGCTCATTTGCCAACTCCGATTTTTAATCATATGTCCCTGAGACAAGCATGCAATATGTCATTGGGGCATGTCCTGGGACCACTAATCCACTTTCAGTATGAGCATACATGTAGTCTGTGTCTCTCAGGAATGAACATACTAGATGTTCGATGTTTATTCATCATCTGATTGGCTGATCAATCTACCAATGATCGGTGATGCTCTTGATGCTATTGATGGCACTGATGATATTGATGACATTGATTGGATCTTGCATGTGCCTCCAGTGCCTCCAGGGTCTCCCATCCTCTAATTTTAACATTCTGCAGCAATTAAACTAGCATGTAGAGGTGGAAATGACAGAATGCGGTCAGCCAGGAGAATATATATCTCTTACATTGTCATCTCATTCAGACTCTTCAAGTGATAACCTGTGGAGGCAGCGGAGGCCAGTTCTGCCATTTGCTCCAGCATCTGATTCATGTAGTGAGACATTTAACTAAAGGACCCTCATAATTATAATGAAGACCTTCAACATCATGGACATGGTTTATGTGGCTGAACCCAAAAAACCACTTTTGGTCACTGGCTGTGGAGGCCATGGAGGCCGGTTCTGCTATTAGTGCTAGCATCTGATCTATGTAGCCACCTGTCTCTCTGGAATACCCAGAAATTCTGACTAGGACAAACAACATCAGAAATATGGTTTATGTGGCTGAATCTACAATAACCGCTTTTGGTCCCCAGCCCTGGAGGCGGTGGAGGCTTGTTCTGCCACTGCTCCAGCATCCAATTTACATGCTGGGCTGTTGTTTCGACAAAGCATAAGCATCAAATTGATCTATTGTAGCAGAATTCAAGGGCCTGTGGGCTACCCAACACCTTTTTTTCTGCCCCTGGGAGGTTGTGGAGGCCATAAACCACCCCTTCAGCAACATCTCATTTTTGCGTGTGGGCACAGCTACCTCATGCTCAATCTCGAATTAACATATATACTGCCGCTCTATGCACCTGAGGAGTGCTCATGTGCTCAAATCCCGAATTTTGTGCGCCCAGTGGTCTACCATTTGCAAGCAAGAAATACAAGCTTTTGTGAGCTAAGACATTGTCTGAGGCTTTATACTGACTACTACAGCATATATAAACACTCGGGTCAATGCCTAGCCTACCATGCTGGCTGTGGATGAATGGCTGGGCAGAGTACCAATTAGGAAGGCGCCTCCAGGATGGCCTCCGATCAGGGGGGGTAGGGGGTGGTTTGATGGCCTCCGGAGGGGGCCTCGAAGCCATTTTACGTAATAATTGGAGGTCCCTGGGGTGCTTTCAGGCGGCCGGCAGAATAGATACGTTAACATCGCTTCGTCATCCCAGATATGGGTGGACTGGACCAGGCCCGCAGTGTTGTCCTGCAGGCAGTACCATTAGCTTGATGCTGTTCTCCCGGGAAGGTGTCCAGCAGAAAGCTAACTGATGCTGCACTAATCGCACGTCCAGACTGCCCCCGTCCTTTCCATTGCTTGGTTGCGTCCGAAGATTTCCGGTAAGTTAGGTAAGGGTCGGAGGTCCTGGAGCAAACCGTGCGTTTAGTCATCCTTGGTGTGAGCTCCTTGATCCAGTCATCAGTGATGACTACTCTTGTTCATCAAAAAGTCTTGTGAGCCCCTGTGCTGTGTGCGCCTCCTCCTTCCCGATGAATGCAAAACAGGAAGGGGATCCCACACCTTTGCAGCTTTTATTGGATAATCATAGACGTAGCAGTATTGGTACGCAGCAGGTACCTGTAGTATATGATGATGGCCATGGTAACTGAGGTTGTTCCACACAAAACCCGGTTGGAATCAAGTCCGCAGATATTGTACTAGTCTGAACATGCGCTCGTAACTTCATTCTGCGCCATGGCTACTCATGCCATGGCCGCCGCAAGGAGGCTCGTGAAATTGGGGGTTCCTAGTCCCGCTGGGAAAAGGAAGCGGAACACATCAGCAGCCGTACACAAGGCACATCAGCGACCGCGCCACTCACTGAGGGGATCCCAGCTCGTCGTTGCATCGAAACTGACGCCGGACTCGGGGCACACGAAACCAGAGTTGTGGACGACGGTGATATCGTTGAACGCGTCCGGATTGGCGTATAGGAACGGATTCAGGAATCCGAGCACGGGCTTTCCCGCAGCGATAAGACGGTCGTTGATGAGCGCGATGATGGACGCAAACGTGGGTGATGCGGCGCTTGTGCCACCCACCAAACTGGGGAGACGGTTGACGATAACTTGGAAGTTCCAGCCCTGGGTTGAGACGTCGGGGAACCCACGCCCGGTGAGGTTGAGCGTGGCGTTGAAGTCAGACGGGACCGTCTTGAGGAAAGAGACGATCTGGGCGGTCTGGTAGGCTGGTGCCGAGAAGAGGTTGGAGAAGCCGCCGCTCGTGAAGTTGATGGCTTTCTCGGGAATACCCTGCGTTGCCCCGACAGAGGTCAGGAACGGACAGCCCGAGGGGAATGTCGGGGCAAGAGCCGCGTCGTTGCAGACACTCGAATCGTCGTGACCACCACGTACTCCACCCTGGGAAGGTCAGCCGGGCCAGAGCACTAGACACGGGAGAAAACCTCACGTCTCCCGAAGCGAAAAGAACAGACACCCCCCGAGCAGACAGTGCCATGTAGGCGTCGCAGATAGAGCTGCGAGATCACCCGTGAGAACTCCCAGTCACGGTATATATGCAATAACTACGCACTGGGCAAGAGCAGGATCCGCGGTGGATTCGTCCACTCCGTACGATGTAGTTATCACCGAGGGAGGGGCTGGTGATGTTTTGCAGGTAGGTCGCCGTTTCGAGAAAAGCACTGAAGATGTCGTCCAAGTCTCCATTCCCGAAGTAAGTGGTCGGCACATCAGTAGCCACACCTGGTACCGATTCAGCACGCGAAACGGACGGTAAGGAGATCACGGTGGACGTACCAACGGTGTATTGCATGTCCAGGCTGGCTTCCACACCACCGAAGCCATCTCCTTGCGCATCAAGGCCTCCATTGATGGTCTCAACACCATAGGTCGTGGACGACGACATGTCCGGGCGCAATTGTTGCAAAAACAACTGGAACATCCAGTCAGACTGCAGAAATGCCACCGCGAAAGTAATCCGCTCACCTGCAAGTCGGCCTTCTGCGCAAATTCGAATCCATACGCCGTCACAAAAATCGTGCCATTGGGCTGAGTGGCCGGGGTAGCCGGGATGGCATACAACTCTTGCATGCAAGTCGGCGTGGTGATTCCACTCGGGTCCGTCGTGTTGCAAGATGCTGCAACGTCACGTTTCAGCGTGGACATTGGGATCTGGATCAGCGGCGGGTCAATTTTGGAGGGGGGCGGGGCGATGGCCGTCGAGGGATGAATCACGTTCATGACGCCCACCATCTCGCTCGGGAGGGAGACAGACATCGTGCGCGCGATCTTGCCGTCGAGGTCGGGGTGCGAGAACAGCTCAAAGTTGGCATCGAACAGCTCGTTGGCCTTGGCCACGGGGACCGTGGCAATGATCCACTCTCCGTAAGGTGAGACCTTCGTTGCGTTCAGGCCATGGGTAGACGCAAAGGCGTTGAAAGCCGCCAAGGTCGCCGCAGACAGCGCCATGTAAGTCTTGACCTGCGTACACTCAGTACTGTAAATACAGCACTAGGCGCCAAAATACACGGAACAAACCTCCTCATTGGAAAGCCACTGACGGAAGTTCGCGCTTCCGGGCGTGACAATGTCCGTCAACTTGGCTTCCAGTCCAGCGGCATCGTTCGGCGCGAGTCCAGAACGCAATTCCAGCGCGTGCGAGGGTAGAGCCGGACCGCGGCGAACAAAACCAGACGGGAAGATCGTCCTCTGTTCGCGCAGCACCATCGCATTGTTGGAACCTGCGGCAGCCATTCGTCGTGATCCACTGGCCCGTTTTTGCCGCCGTCCATTTCATAAATGTGGCCGTCCAGTTGCGAAGGGATAAACGCAGCGTAATGCCCGGGGACTACATTGTCGGCATGCAACACTTGACTGGTACCGAAGGGCGCACAGTCCTTGTACAGCGCTGCGATGGGTGAGAAGGACTCGAGGAAAGAAGCCTGGTCGGGAGGCAACATGGAGAGCGCGGAGGTGATGAACTTTCTCATGGGTGAATCTGGGTCTTGTACAAGTGGTCAGCCAGCTGTCACCCATGTGCGGACACTGCACGAGAAGGTCGAGGAGTCACAAACGAACCTATATACGGCGAATCTACACCCAATCGACTCGAATTTGAAACGATGTTCATCAGTGCGAAGAATCCACATACGTTGGGGACGATCTGTTCGACCCACAACATCGGCTCGTGGGACCCCCGACCACTATACCCTCGCCCCGCATCTCGCGCTTTCTGCTGCTCAGCGTCGATCGAAGATTCATACGCGGGGTTGGTATTGTACACTGGGATGATTCCACGTAGCTTGCCTGGCAGAGACAAGGGACCGCCTGGAACGAGATTACCCGGGCCAAGCGAGAGCAGCTCGACGCAGGTCAGCGGGTAGGATGCACCCCGCAGAGAACGTGCATTAGGTCTGTGTGAAGCTAATCGGATTTGACTCAAGAGGGATGCCGCAGAATTGTGCTTGAGAATCTTTGGAGAAGGACATGGTGGTAGTAGACACAAGCGACGCACTGAGACACGCGTCATATGCTTTGATGGCATAATCATTCTATCTGAGTTCTCGTTGAGTCTACTCTTGGGGGATGGGGGAACTAGTCACTAAACTACACAAGAACAGTATTCATTTATTTCTGCAAAACTCAATACAAAGCAGGTGTCATAGGTTGGGGAGGGGACAGTCGTAGTAGTCGATACGGGAAAATCATTCATATGACACGGGCGGACAAGCGGCAAGTTTATGCGACAAGGGGCTAGAAAGAAAACCTCTGAGCGGCATGTATCGAGAGACAGGCAAGAGGACTAGACGTACCTGAGCAAGATGTCCATGATACAGTCCTAGACGTCGATGTCACACTTATTGAGTACAAAGATATATGAGGCAGAAGGCGGAGAACGAACCAGGGCAGGGATTCACTGGTCAAGCCAGTCACCCTGCGCTTATTTGATGGTGTGGGCCATGCCGTAGAATTCGGCGGAGGGATACTTGACAAGGATCTGCTTGACAACCCACCACATGGGCGTACCGTAGGTAACATGGTCGTGCATGCCCCGGGGCATTCCTGAATGTAGCATGGCAAGTGCATCGCCGTCTCCCGTGAAGATCAGGGAGCCTGAGTCGCCGTGGTCTGAGAAGTCGCCAGAAGTCTTGCTATAGTTGTACACAGCGACCTCCCTGGACTCGAGTCCGATGTTGAGCGCGATGTAGGCTTCCATACCAGAGTAGCGACCCAAGGTAAGCTTGGTCGTATTCCCATACTTGCCAACAATGTAGAGAGGCTCGCCATTCTTGTCCTCCATGTTAGGATTCAGGACAAGCTGGCGAGAAAGAGCAGCACGAATAGGGAGCTGGAGGTTGTCTGGGATTTGTCTGCCCTTGCGTGAGCCAGCTACGGGCCAGAGTAGGTCCTCGAGCTGACTGGCGTTGTATTGATTGCCTAAATAGTTCAATGTCAGTGAGTAAAATTGGAATGAAGGGAGGAAATGAAGTGAATCGTACCAAGATCCACACTGTTACTTTCAAAATTCCCGAGCTTCTTCTCATCAATTACAAACGTAGCAATGTCGCGTGTGTAGAGATAGTTATCAGCCCTGACAGAGATGTGGGGAGCCCAGTCGACAACACCGAGCCTGCGACCATCTGTATCTTGCCAGTCAGCGGTGACTTCGTTCAGCAAGGCTTGGAGAGTGGCGTTGTCCTCAGTCTTCTCGTCCAAAGCGTTCTGCCTGCGCCCCATAGCCATTATATTTCCCTTAGACGTGTTCTTGAGTTCTCGAGCAAGCCTGGTGGCCTCACGGAGACCGATGTCGATGGTATCGCGGATTTCAGTCATAGCAAGAGTGAGGCGACGATCACCGCAAACAAGGATATGCTGAGGGTCAGTCTCATCAAAGTCGTAATCAGTGGTGGTGTCGAGAGAGACAACATGTTTATTGGTCAGGCCGAGGATCCTATTGCTAGGCTCACCGCTGCTTGTCTTCATCTCCTTGAACAGGAGTGTGAGAGTGCCCTGTGCGCCATCGGACTGCCTGGCTATGGGGATGCCAAGGCCAGTGTTGAAGGGATGGTTGTGTCCAAACCGAGCATTGGTGTTATCCACAACACCCATTAACGGAGGGCCAACCAGCCTGGTGACCAAGCCCTCGTACCACTCAACAACGACATCGGTGATCTGGTAGTCAGCGAGGATGTTGAGGATGTCCGGTGTGGCATCACGAACGGCCCCTGCATTGGTCGTGTTGGGACGAACTGCAATCCACACAACAACAGGACCAAAGGTTTCCCCCTTCCCGTCCTCCATTGTCGAGAAGCGAGCAGTTTTGAGCGCTGAGTACTGGAGGTGGTGCTTCTTCATTGATTCCAGAATCCGTGGAGCAACGATATCCCACACGCCATTGAGAGGTGTATTGAAGACGCCATGGGCAGTTTTGGCAGCAATTTTGAAGAAGTTTGTTCCAGGCGGGGGGATGGGGAAGGGATTGATCTCGAAATCAGAGCGCCACATGAGCTGGGGAGGATCCCCAGAGAGACCGTGGTAATAGAAGTGCATTTCGTATTTGGAGATTAGGTCGGGGGCAACAATGGCATGAGCATCTGAGTGGTTAATCAGCTGCGAGTGAAGCACGCTTGTATCGTTGAGAGTGGGAGACATAGGGGAGATCGAAGAGTGAGCAGCCCCAGCCTTGCGTCTGAGGCAGTCGATCATGAAGCAGGTGACGGCTGCAAATAGAACAAGAGTGAGTGGGAACGAAATGCATGCATAAGATCCTGGGACTTACTGCCTAGGTTTGCGGGATCAGCCTTCACCTGCTCGACTATATCTCTGACCTCTGGAGCAATGTCTGGAAGGCAGATTGACAATCAGTAATGAGCGAGGGACAGGCATGTGTAATAACAAAGAGATTCACTTTCGTCCATGAACCCAAGGTTAACGAGCTCCTCGTCGCTGAGATCGATGATCTCTGCCAGGGACGCTGAGCACTTGTAAAAGGAGAAACAGCGACTACACACTCTTGTTTACATAAGCAGGATCCATGACAGGGGGAAACGTTTCACAAGGATTGTGGTAAGAAAGCTCAACCAAGTAGTTGGCCGATGGAGATGAGTCGGGGGAGAGATACAGTAGGAAAACACGAAAAGGGGACCTCAAGAAATGAGTAAGGTCTGACACGGCCGCAGCAAACCCGGATCACCCGCGCGGAGAAACTCACGGGTCTCGACTCTTGACCCTGATCGAGTCATGCGGATGAGGGGTTACCCAGGCAGGAATGAGTGCCGCGAAACACCTCGATGCTTACTCATGGGTATCGACTCTCCATCGACTGAATCAATTGCTCTTCATCTTGATAACCGCTGCCCACGGCCCACGTCCCGACCGCGCTTTGTGCTTTGATAACATCATGGCATATGTCCAAATTCTCGCTGAGTTTTCTTCCCCCTCGAACACAAAGGAGAGTTGATATACAGGCAAATGAAGCCAAATACTGGAATAGATGACCTCGTGGAAGCCTAGCACATTGGGGTCTCCGACGACGATGAGCAGTGCCTGGGCTCGGGTTATAGCAACTAGTGGCTGGTCAGGGCGTGTATGTCATCAGAGAAGGGACAGAAACACACGCATCATTAAGCCCAGTGTGTGAAGTCATACTCGACAAATTTATGGCTGCTCCGGACAGTTAAGACAATGATTGCCGGCGCTCCTGGCCCTGGAACTCCTCAACACTGCTGATTTTGACTCCATGTGCGAATGCACGCAGCACCGCGTGGATTTTGAGGCACTAAGCGTGCTATGGTGTGATCACACCGACGTCGTTGTCAACTGGAACACCTCAGTCTCTCGCCAGGGACACAAAAGAAGGTGGCAGTAACGTATTTATCTGCACCCGGCGGTCCTCCCGAAGCATCCGCACGTAGCTCTTGACCTGGCTGACCTCATCGACGTTGAAGAACAATGGCGAAGAGGCTTCCCGATCATCCTTTCCCCTGATTGCGTGGAAGATCACCGGAAACCGTTCATTGAGCAGCGGCTCATAGTTCACATACGCGTTGACCACTGACGGGCTGCCGCACGCCTCCAGTTCCCCTAGGAAAAGCGCTCATTCGGAAACTTGAGGATCAACGGGTGCAAGCGAAAGTTCTTTGTTAGCTTGACGAGACTGGGAAGGGTGTAAGGAACACGTCGCTCATGACTTGCCGCAACCTTTCACTTGATCATATATCTCGAAAGCCATCAGCCGCTCGATGAAGGTCTCCAGAGCCCGCTCTCTCGCAATCACAGGGCGGAGAGAATACGCGAAGTTGGGGTCCAATTTCATCGTTGGATAGATGCGACCGAAAAGATCACCCTCGCTTTTGGCTAGCGCTGTGTCTCTGTTAGCTGCCCAGTCCAGCTGTGATCGCGTCAGAACACACGCCCGCACATTCTCGGTACGCCACTCACGCAATGGGCCCCAGCCACGCACAGCCTCGAAGGCGACGGACATCTCCGGGCAAAGGAAGCCCGAGTTGTGCCCGACAGTGATGTCATTGAAGACGGCGGGGTTCTTGTACAGGCTCGGGTTCAGGAACCTAGGGTTGGCCTAGCACGGGCTTGCCTGCCGCAAGGAGGCGGTCGTTGACGAGCGCGATCATGGCTGCGAAGGTGGGCGCAGCTGCGCTGGTGCCGCCCGTGAACGCAGTGCCGCCGGTCTGCACGATCTGGAAATTGACGCCCTGGACGGACACATCCGGGAACCCGCGCCCCGTGCGGTTGAAAGTGTGTGAAGTTGCTCAATTTCTCGGGGAAACCTTGCGTTGCACCCACCGAGGTGACGAATGGGCACCCGGAAGGGAAGGTGGCGGCAAACGTATTGACATCACACTGGCTGGGGTCATTGTGACCGCCACGAACGTTGCCTTACGAGTGTCGGATCAAGATATTTCCAAGAACTGCAACAGGACTCGAGTACATCGCCTGGAGCAAAGATGACAGAAACTCCCTGTGCGCTGATTGCAATGTGCATGTTACAGATGGCACTGCAGATGAGTTCTATTCAGTCCGATGTGCGAGGTCGAATTGGACGGATCTACGCACCTGGCCATGGAGTGGTCTGTATCCAATTCATCCACGCCGTATGAAGTGCTCAGCACCGTGGGTGGACTGCTGGCACCATCGAAGGAATTCGCGGTGTCGAGCAGTGCACCGAGGAAATTATATCCTCCCACAGACAGGAAATTGGTAGGAACCCCGTTAGCCACACCTGTTTTAGTATCAGCTCGCGTAAGGGACTGCAGCAACCCCCAAGACACTCGCCTATGCCATACTGCATGTCCAACTCCGCTTCCAGACCGCCTCTGCCGCCCAGGAAGATGCCCTGTGGGTTATCTCCTTCGTCCAGCCAGTGAATTGTTGGCTTGCGCCGCCGGGGACACCGGGATGCCATAGATGTCGAGCAGGCACTGGGGGGTGATGACACCGCTGGGATTGCTGGTATTGCACAAAGCTGCAACATGCGACTTGCCCTTGCGCAAGTCCATCTGGATCATCAGTGGCTGTGCAGATCTGGAAGTTGCTTGGGGCAGGGCAAATGCTGTCGTGGGATGGATCACATTCACCACGTCCACCATCTTGCTTGGAAGAGAAACGGACATCGTGCGCGCGATCTTGCCGCTGAGGCTGGGGTGCGAGAACAGCTCGAAGGTCGCGTTGAAGAGCTTGTTGGCCATGGCAACAGAGACGGTGGCCGAGACCCAGTGCCCATTGGGGGAAACATGCGTTGTGTTTAGTCCATGCGCAGAAGCAAACACCATGAATGCTGACACAGTCGCCGCCGACGGCGCCATGCGCGATCTAACCTAGATATCAAAGCGAATGCTCAGGATTTCACCTTTTGCCGGCGCAGATGAACGCACCTCCTTCGAGAGCCACTGACAGAATCGGGTGCTTCCGAGCGTGGCAATGTCCGTCAACTTGGCTGCGAGTCCACCGGGGTCGTTTGGCGCGAGTCCGGCCTAAGTAGATGGTGACCAGCTGAAAAAGTGCGTACAGCTTTTGGTTGTAAACGTGATACAGCCGGCCGATGGAGCGCTGTATCCTTCCTTATTGGGATGCCCCGTGAGCGCATTCGCACCGGCTTCTGGCTTTTGCCAGCGCATTTACGCTCACTGAGACCGCTTCCCGTCACGTCGCATTCGCGCTGGCCTGTCTGCTTCTTTCAGCGCTTTTGCGCTGACCTTGGACGTTTTCACGGACTCTCAGCGCGTCTGCGCTCACTCTCTCCCATTTCGGCCATCCTCGTCGCATTCGCGCTCAGAACTATGACATGATCGGCGCCTTTGCGCCGCGTCTGGTGGTTCTCAACACCTCTCTGCGCTATCGCACCGATACCCGTCCTCCTTCGCAGTGCGTCCGCGCCGACTTCGCCTCCCATCGCCTTCCTCCTCGCTCGTGCGCCGAGTTCCTACTGCCGTCCGTGCAAATGCGCCGACAGGCTCCCCTTTAATCCTCGCTCGGCGCGGATGTGCCATTTCCTCTCTCTACCTCTCTGCGCGCGTGCGACGACTTCCCCATTTTCGACAGTTCTCGGCGCAAATGCGCCACGTCGAAGTACCATCTATGCGGGCGAGACTTGATTTTCTAGCTTCTGGTTGTCCTTCAAGACTGAGAGTAAGTTCTATTTGCACATATCTCTGATTCTAAGTCGATTCCAGATGCACAAGAAGACGCGTGTGTAGAGAATCGCTCAGCGTTGAGACATATAGCTCACTGATTTGCGTATCCGTGCCAGGCCACTGTTCCCACATTCCCCAGCACTCGAGTTGATCCTTGACAGTCTAGGATCCACTGCACAGTATGTTCTCAGGAACGCTGCTTCCGAACATTTAGTATGTCCGACCGAATGAAAGTTGTCAATCAGAAACTGAGTGTCTTTGAAGAATGTGGGCTCACGCGTCATGCAATATGGCCCTAGTGCACAAGCGAAGTCATAAACGACTCGTTTTGGCGCTTTCTCCCAGCGGGTTATCAAAGCAGAGAAGACGTCGTTCCTACCTTCGCCTTTGGGAATGCAGTGAAAGCCATAGCAGACACTATGGGTGCACCAGAAGCACATAATGCCCCCTGTCAGTCTCCGCTCTCCGTACTGTGAGTAGAATTTGGAGCACTTGGCTCCCCGCTTCCCGCCGACCTCGTTGCTTGCGTCATGTTTCAGCTTTGGATAACGCGGCCGCGCTCGGATCTTTGGCAGACCGTAATGACAACCAGTCTTTTGTAAATGGTAAATGAGCAGATGTTCATGAATGGCACATCACTGACTCACTTCTTGCCAGGGTTTCTCTTCCTCTTCTACGTTGACCAGAATATCTGCTGGTTGCTTGACCAACGCGTCGAAAATGATTTGCCCTTGCCTCAGAATCCACTGACACACTTGAACTATCCGCGGCGAAACAGATCCTGATTGACGTATCTCATACGCAACTGGCACCTCATGTACAAATGGAATTTCAACGAGTGCTGAGCCTGTGGTCGGGTTTGCGTTTATGACGAATCTTTCCAACGCTCGAAGCGCGGGCTGTGTAGCGAGTTGAATTACGGACTCCTCTGCCACCACCTGCAGATGCTGAGATCAGACTAAGATGAGAAGTGGTCGTTTTGCCCACCTGAAGATAGAAGCGTTTATACACATCGGGTGCTGGTGCCGTATTCAAGACTGTAAGTTCACCGAATTGAGCATCGAATATCCCTCCCAAAGCCGTATCCGCATGGGTAAGACCAGCAACAACGTCTGGTATGATCTTCAATCTTTCCAAAAACAACTTCTGAGCCTTCTCCAACGCCTTCTTCCCCGTCAGATCAAGGACCTCTGTGGCATCATCCTCGTCATCTCCATCTTCGTTCTCGGTAGCCTCATCATTGCTCTCTATACCGGAATCCAACAATAAAACTAGCTTATCGAGCTCGGATTTGATGAGCGGCTTTCCCGTGAGCTCCAGTCGCAACAGCTTGCGAGTCTTGGCATGAGGAAGGAGTTGCTGATTGGACAGATATCTTGTGGTCAGTCATTCGTAAGATGATGTTTCCGAGACGGTGGGAGGTTCGAGGGTGGGAAGAAGATGTTTCTTGTTGAATGACACCGTCACTCCATCCCAAATGGTAGTATCGGGGTTTGTGCCGCACCGGGGGCAGCTCATACTGTTATCCAGATACTGCAAATCCGCATAAAGAAACCATGCAGCACGGAATGCATCAGCCGCGGCAAATGGATGCGGGCTGTCATGGAGTGCATAGCGCCGCGATACAACAGAGACCCAAGCCAAGAATGGAGTCTCGGAAGATGTGTATGCTGACGTGTATTCGTCCAGCAGTTCGTGAGAGAAGAGACATCGATTATTGTAATTGAAGATGCTGAGTTCCCAACAGTCCGGTCCCACAAATCGTTGCTTGCAATGTGGGTTGCTGCAGTTCTGGAGTTGGATGGTGGTTTGCCAGCACCGATATAGACCATAAACCACACAAGACTGCGTGAGAACCTGGGCTTCAGGATTGTACCGGGGCCTGGGACGCATACAGCAGCAAGTGGAAGTTTCCGTAAGTGGTAGCATCTCGGGGGGGCTCTGCAGCAGCTTTGCTCAGATGTACAATACCGGGTCCGACCCCAATATTGCCCAAGATGGAGGTAGAACGGGCAGATGTGCACCTCAGTTACCACCGCCATCACCCGGTTGCACCCCCGCGGGGGTCCTACTGGGTACCCTCAGACGTAGCTCTGAGGGTACCCAACAGGTACCCCCCTGCGGGGCCCACGGGGGGGTTTTGGTCCATTTGGGGCAGGGGCATATGCGGGGGTCAGCAGGGGGGGGTCTGTACATGTCATGTGATTTATCATTGGGAGCGGGCAGGTGGGCGCGAAAAAAAAAATGAATCACATGACACATCCAATGGGCAGGATGGTGGCTGATGGCGGGGTAAAAAAATCACGTGATGCACCGCATAAAAATTATCAAAAATGGCTAGCAGGGGTTGGCGGGGGTTGGCGGGGGCGCTACTGGCCCCCCGCACACCATGGCAGGCAGTGGGCGCATTATCACGTGACTTTTGGGGCACCTTTTGTGCACCATTCGGCATGATTTCGGAGGTGTTGCTTGATCCATTGCATGCTGTGGCAGACAATGGGCGCATAATCACGTGATTTTCCGCCCCAAAAAAATGGAAGCCTTCCCCAAATCATCCTGGTATCATTTCTATCGGTAAATACACTAGTTAAGCATGAATTTGAGCTTAGAAAGCCCAAAATGCACCCTGCACAATGGGACTGGTGATGCACTTGATCCCATCATTTGGCGGGGTCTGCTGCGGGGGGTGCCATGGGGGGTACTGCGGGGGGTGCTGCGGGGGGTGCCACAAGGGGTGCCGCAGGGGGTGCCGCAGGGGGTGCCGCAGGGCCCGCTGTGGGGTCAACCACAGGAGCAGGGGTAGGGGTGCATTGCATCATATTTTGATCTATCTATTCTCGCTGTGGTCATAGCATGCAGCATAATTATCCTTCATTTTGCCAGGAGTTTGGAGGCTGTGTCTGGGGTTGGTCTGCAGCTACAGCCATGTGACTCCCTGATGCTTCAGCAGGGGCTGGGATATCAAAACTGTGCAATATTACCTAAATCTTTTGGCTTGGCTTGGGGCACTGATATATATGACTTGGTTCATTTTAGCATGGTCTGCTCAAGCTTTCAGGTCAAACTAAAAATTTGAAAAATGTGCAACTTGATTTGTTAGGCAAATCTCCCAAGTACATGCTCCAGGGACAGCCAACATCATCAACAAGAAATGGCTAATGTTTCTTTTCTCTGTCTGTTTGCTTCAGGTAGTCTGTCTGCACTCAAATTTTTCTCTCCATTTGCAGCATATTCCGTGGAGGTGTCATAATTGTTGATTTCCGGATTTCATACTTCTTGTCTACACACCATTTGGGCCCTTTACTGAATCCAATAATACTGTAGACTCTTACAATGGATTGAGCAGGACATTTGTCAATTTAATCCTTGCAGGGGTTGGGGGGGGGGTCAACTACAGGGGGTGCCGCGGGGGGTGCCACGGGGGGTGCCGTGGGGGTGCACAAGCATCTGCCAGCCTACCAAATGTGGATCAACTACAAAATCACTTTCCAAAGCTTCTGTACTGCAACCCAAGTGACTTCTAGGTAACCTTTACCCAATCCCAGTGAAACAACTTCACTGCTCTTGTTTCTGGGTGACAATTGATTTTATGAGCTTGAGTGTGTATGCACCCTTTTTAGTGGGAAATGAGGCCATGTGATGAGAGGTAGGGCACCAAAACATTGTAAAATACTATATTCAACATGACTGGTGGCCCATGTCTCTTCAAACCAGCCCATATGTCATGTTTATCAAGACCCTATTTTTCGGACTCATTTCAAGTTTTTGAATGGTTCCAGGGTCCAGGGCTCTCAGAATTTGTTTCAGACACTGCCAAAGAGTATATCATTCAGCTGTATTGAATTGCTTGTGTGTAGAAAAAATATTTTTGCCATACCCAAAGTGAACCATGTTGAACCATTGTCTACATAGGAACCTTGAGCAATGGTGAACTCTTTTCATGTTTTGAATTTTAGGTGGACAAATGATATGAAGTATCTACATATTCAACAAGAATAGCAGAAGGAGACCTTATTCCGATGGTTTTCAGCTGCATAACTGTAGGAACAGTGTTAGAAGAGCAGTAAACACTTAGGTACAACGTTTATACAGGTTCTGATTGGCTAGTGACTTGACGTGTTCCGAGCTGTCAGTTTACATAATCTTACATATAAGAAAATCACGGGGACAAGGCACCGGTGCGGCGGGGGGTGCTAGACTGGCGGGGGTGCCAGCGGGGGTGCCAGCAGGGGTGCCAACAGGGGTGCCGGCGGGGGTGCCAATGGGGGTACCAGCAGGGGTGCAGGCAGTGGGTCATGGCAAGGATGTGTGCAGCCCCAGAGGTAGTAAAAGTAACCATCTATGTCTCTACAGTCTATCTTGCAAATATACGAGCTCTGAGTGCACAGAGTGTTGTATATGAAATTTGAAATTCAAATATTACCAATCTCTGAGTGCACAGAGTGTTGTATAT